TTTAGGTCTTAAAATGTTCGTATTAACCCGCTCTGCATGATCCTGGTATTTTCATTTCATTGTTTTGTCATTTAATACATTTGGGACTCCAGACTGCTAGTATCGCCAGCTTCATTAGACCAGAGCCGAATGCTATGGATGTCACACTCCCTTAGTCCACTTCTTTATACAGTCTATGGGGAAAACATGCCAGCTGTCACCACCAACAATCACACTATCATCATTTATACAGTAAAGTGTAGCACAAAACAACAGAATGCATGGCTAGTGGTTCAGCGCACTCAAGATTTACCATAGCCCACTTTGGAATCATGAACAAATCAGGTCTAACTCTTGTTGCTCAGAGTAGAGTTCAGATTTTGGAAGAATGCTCTGGAATTCTTAATAGTTAAATGGAATTGGAGTAGAAAGCATCCGTTGTTTAAAAGATGGGATGTGTCTTCAAAGTCTGTAAAGTCATCTTCATGGTTTAGGGATGTAAGATTAATCGCACTCAAATTGAAATCACAATTGGATGCAGTTACAAATCGCAAAGGTTGTAATTTTATCAAAAAACAAAACAAAACAAAAAAATCCAAATCTTAACATGTTCCGATTTCTGTTCTGAATGTGATTCTTGTATTAGTTTGTCAGTTCATATCATAGTCTTTTTGTCAATACCCTGGACACGTTTAAAATGTGAATTTTGAACTAAATTTTATTATTAAAACATAAATCAGGCTTTTTTTATCTGAAGGTGCATCTCGTGACTTTTTGGTTGAGGGGTGCATCTCTTGCTTGTTTCTATGGATATGCCATTGCCTTGAATGTTCCACAGTATGACATTTAACTGCTCTACTTTACAGGCATTCTAACCATGAGTGGAGTCTCCACAGACCTGACCTGTAAATTGGTCTGGTTTGGTCTCCATGAAGATAGAAAGTTTTAATGCCATACTGTGAAACATTCCAAACAAAGCAATAACATCTTCATGGAGAAAAGCATTTGACGGACCCTCCACCAGAAAAGTTACATGATGCACCTTTAAAGTCAGTAGTCTTCAATAAGAAGTAAAATAAAATAAAATAGATAATTGTGATTGACTGATGTAAGGGACTGACATATTTTGCCATATTGCCCAGTCATATAGAAATTATTATAAAATGCATGATCTAATATAATGTTTTCACAGACTACACACAGACTAATATGAATACTATACACTATATTACACATCCCAGTCTTTCTCATGAATATCTGCCCGCACAATGTTTCTATTCTGCATTTTTCAGTCTGGTGCAGTGAAGTTGCCTCTTGTCCCAGTGGTAGTTTGTCGTCAAGGGAAACCCACTTCCTCATCCTGGAACTCCCCGAGCCCCAATGGGTCACAGCGCGGTTTCGACCAATCAGAGCATAGAAAAGAGAGCCGCCACTGTTTACAGGAAGCGCACAACAAGGCTTTTGTGTTCAGCATCTATAAAAGGAAATTCTACAGAGGACTTCCTGAAGTAGTGATGATGTAGGTGCACTTAACTTGCTCTGTCAAAGTCCCCATCCCCGCCCCATTCATTCAGAGAAACAGAGCTAGTGTAGTAGTCAGTAGTATGGAAGTAAGTGAGAGGATGTAATAGTTTTTCAAAATAACTTTGACATAATCAAATAAAACATTCAGAAAAGAGCTCATTTAACAATTTTTAAATTTACTGTACCTTTCAAAACCACTGAAGCAATGTACACACTATATATATATATATATATATATATATATATATAATATATATATATATATATATATATATATATATATATATATATATATATATATATATATATATATATATATATATATATATATTATATATTTTTTAATATTTCACATTTGAACTTTTTTTTTACATGCTCTTCTGTTGTCATTTGAATGATAAATAACAGTTACACAACATACCTGACTCTCTTATGTAATAAGTAACTGTTTTAAGGAAAGTCCCATCCCTTTACTGGTAAGGTTGATATCGGGTATCGGCAGATATTTAAAGTCAAAGTATTGATAGTAGTAATATATGATGCTTGTGTAAATAGTAATGCTGAACAGAAACCACAACAGAATACAAAGAGGTCGCATGTGTATGTGTGTGTCAAAGTTACTGAGGTGTAACTGTAACAGCCTGGGGTTCATATGAAACAAACCCATGTGAGTGAGTGTATACAAAGAGCCACAGTGAGGGCCGTGATTACACGTTTGGCAGAGAGGACAGAGTAAACAGACTGCCCTGTTCCCGCCCACTCTCCTCAACACCTTATCCTGTTATTCTGCAGCTGCCTCACCTCTGAGTCAACAATTTCACCAACCTGGCAACCCCACTGCTGTCTCATATATACAAATCAGCTACATGTAGAAGAAATTAACTCCCCGGTTCATGATAATTACTAAACTCAATATATGAAAGGGGCAACTAAATATTTTTAGGTTCAGTATTTGTTGTGTATTTCATTTCTTTTCAATAGTGGGGAGATTTTTACTATTTTAGGTAAAAACGTAAGATTTGATCTGTACATGGTTGAATAAAGAACTTCTATTGCTAGTTATTAATTTATTCTGTTATTTATTTGTTGCAGTTCAGGCCTTTTAATGATACAGTCTATTTAAAGATTCTTTAACTGGGCTTATCTTGCTTTGTGTCAGTGGGAAGTAGTTTATTGCAATATTTCTCTGTAGCAGTATATCATATTCCAGAATGTATTATTTTGACAGTACCTGGTTCAATATACCCCCTTGATATGTTATATTTACTAGCCCTATATATTTTTTACCCACTTGACACAAATCTATATTGTTGCCTCTTGCTGTTTTTGCAATTTATTTTGAATTTTCCTAACATTTTTGTTGGCTCTTTGTTATAACAATGTAATGTGTAAATTACTGTGGCCAAGTAATTTCCGTTGTGAATCAATAAAGTTCATCTCATCTCTGAATAGGGCTGGGTGATATAACAACACAGTTACTCACTTTTTTCCTCCTATTGACCAATCACAATTTTGGATTTCATTTTATTTTATCATTAGTTTTGACTTACAATCAATGTCTGAATTCTTCTCCAAACTACCAGTACATGCTTTTACTGAGAGAGGATTGGCTGTAGATCTCTCCATGAAAGGTGCATTGCGCAACATTTCTAGTGGAGGGTCTGCTACCTACTTGTCTCTATGGAGATGTTATTGCTTTGCTTGGAATGTTCCATATTATGACATTAAACATATCCATCTAACATTTATTCATTACGGGTGTTTCTATGGCTCAAAAACACTATAATTATTTCTGTAAATAGGAACGACTCTCCACAGATCTGAATTGTAATGTAATGTAGTGCTATAACCTGCTTGTCTTCCTTGTGATAGATATACTGTGGAACATTCTAGAAAAAACAATAACATTTCTATGGAAACAAGAAGGTGGCAGACCAAAGTTAACTGTTGAAATGACAAAATCTCTATCTCTTTGTAATTGACGGAGGCAACCACTCAAGTTGCAATTAGTTTACTTATTCATTTATTTCTTAATAGACCTGCATTCCTCTTTCTACTTATTTGGCAGTGAAGTCAGTGTTTGCTATAAGTATTCACAGAGTGTATGGTAGTATAATCTGTATTCAGTGATGGGAAGAATACTTTGAAAATGTATTTAGTTACAGTAATAATACATAATACCTGCATTGAAAATGTATTTGATGACATTTTCTAATACATGGGCCGATTGGAGTACTATATTCTGAATACTTAAAATATTTTTACATAGAGTTGCATTTAAATTATAGTGTAAAAAAGCAACATTTATATTTTATATTTATTTCACTGTTTGTTATGCATTTTCTATGACTGATTAGAGAAGGGAAATCACACTTGCTGACATAACAAGAGCAGTGTTTTATATTTTTCTCTCTAATTCTGAGCAGTTTGAAACCTAAACTGTGTGATTAAGTACCGTTCATTCATTTGACTTTAGAAAAGTAACTATATTCTGAATATCACCAAATGCAAAAGTAACTGTACCAGAAACAATTACTCAAAATTTGTGTTCTGAGTACATATTCTTGGAACATGTATTACTTCCCACCACTGCCTGTATTAATTGCTGTGCTTAAAATAACAAAAATAACTAGAATCCAAGTTCAAAAAGGGACCCATTGACTTTGATAGCTAAGAAGGAGACATTATAAACCTCTTTCAAACCACAACTGAGCCCAAAATGTATTAAATGGCCCATTAAATCTCAACAGAGCCCAACAAGTAGCTTAAAACCTAATAGCTTTTGTTCCTTTTCAAGTAACTTCTTTCTAGTCACATCTGTTTTATGTTTAGACTACTTAAGGTGACTTCATCATGACAGCGCTTTGTAGTTGTAAACTGTAATTACATGGGCTAAAATTGAAAAGGGGCAAGCCACAAAGGATGTAGGCTGTAACTTGGATCTAATTTTTGGTATTTCTGTCCAGCCTATAGACATGACAAGCAAATCCAAGAGTCAATGGGAAAAATAAATGACTAGGAAGTTAATTATTATGTTATATGGGTCAATATAGAATCAAACAACTAGGCGTATTCACCATAGAAGTTACATTTTTTTTAGAGTGGGCTTTTAGGTTTATTAAGTACTCTAGATAAAATACAGTATATGGAAACTATTGTATATAATATTACTACTGGTTTGACAATGGCCACTGGTATACACTGTAAACTGAGCATACTGAAAAGCCTGACTTATGTTTTTAAGGGGAAATTACGCTATTTATAATGACCCCATTTTCCTCCACTGTTGCTTATTGATTTTACATTACAGAGATGGTCATGGGCTATTTATAGGCAAAACAAAGCAGACAGTTAGACACAACAATGCAGTATAGTTAGAACCAGACATTGAACAGTAGATCTGATATTACAAGCCAACATTGAAATCCATACACATTAAGACAGTTGTCAAGCTCTGCAATCACAACATTAGAGAAATATTTGTAAGGAAAACTCACCGGTCAAAAGCAGCAAAGAAAAGCAAGCACCACTCCAGCCCTGCTCCACAGACTTGCAAGATTTTTTCCTCACTCGTGGTTCAAATCAAGTAGATATTTAGCAGAAAAAACTATCCTAAAAAGTTATTATACTCCTGTGGTTGATGCTACAGCGCTTGGTCCGCTCGTCCCGTGTCCCAGTCAGACTACTTTGGCTCTGGGAGGAATTTGGCTAAAAGGAAAGGAAGCGGAACGTCGTAAAGTCAAAAGAGAAAATCAAGAGCACGCAGGCTTCCGTAGCGCTCTACTCAACCCGCGGTAAAATGTAAAGCTGCTGTGGTCAGTGCTGCAGGTAAAAACAAAGTGTGAAAGTAAAACTATTTCTCACGGGGAAAAGGACTCACGGATTTCCAGAGTAAAAACAAGGCACCGAGGAACTAAGATACTAGGATTTCCACATTTATCCATTTCAATCAAGTTTTTAGTTAGTGTTCATGGTCTTCTAATCACTGTTTACAAATGAGAGTCTATAAATGAGGGTATGTGAGCACTTTCAAGGGATCTCTTGGAATGATTTTAGATTGCCCACCCTTGACATTTATGTCAAGGGTGGGCAGGTATTTTTTCCATGGGGCCACATGAGAAACAAGAAAGGTTTGTGGAGGGCCAAGTCAAAATGTCAAAAATTCTGCATAATATTAATTTGATTTCTTTATAAAAAGCAGTAAATAGCATTGTTTTGACGAGCAGATAAGACTGGCAAGAGTATATGTCATGACTAAGCAATGAAAAACTGAAGTTGCCTTACAAAAAATGTCAATAAAAAACAAAACAAAAAACTCTATAATAACAACAATGTAACTTTAGTCCATGTGTTTAAATAATATTTTTATTTTGTAATTTCAAATGAGTTTAAACGGGCCGGTTGCAATCAACCAAAGAGCTGCATGTGGCCCCAGAGCTGTATAATGCCCAGGTCTCGTTTAGGTCATTCTCACGCACTGACTAAGTAAATTTTTAAAATAATCTTATCCACAGAGCACTGCCATCAATCACACACCACATTCATACATAGACAAGATGGGTGAAGTGTTGCTCAAGCACTCAAAGCCAAACCATTCACATTCACTTTATTTGCCACTGTACTTAGTCAACAGACTGAGGAAAAATGTCTTGCCAAATGACACAGTAAACAGTGTCAGAAACACGGTTTGAACCGTTGACCTTTGGCTTCATGTGTTCTGGTCTGATAACCACTACTGCTTGAATTAATGTGGCTGTAGAAATAAATACATGGATACATAACTTGCACTTGCCATTATTAAAAAACAAACACATAAATATGGCAGATAAACTAGTGAATACAATATTTTTTTTCTAGATCATGGAGTGAAGTCAAATTTACTTTATTTTGAAATACCAACCGGAAGTTGCATTAAAGCACTTGTGAAACGTGTCTGCTTTTCCAACTTGAATTTACACAACATCAACATCAGCTGCACTTACTGCTACATCACAACGATTTGCGAAAGGTAATGAACAGTAAATCCGTTTACAAGTTTTATAACAACACTCATGCAATTTAATGCCAATGTTGAAGCTGTAAGGCAGCTAACAACGTGATTACGCTACTAGCATGTTAACTTTTTGCTGTAGCGGTTGTTGCTAGCACCTAAAACATCCGTAGTAGCTCAAATGCAACATTATCATGGATCTATTAGACTTCGCAATATTATCGATGATCGCGGACTTGGCATGATTGAATTTTTTAACTCGCCGTTTAGGATTTGTTGAATATATCGTCAGGAGGGAGTAGCAGTAGTAGTAATAAATACTTTAAATACATGATAATTCTTCCTCAAGGTTCAGGGTTCATTCTTTCTTTCATACCCATTGGTGAATATTCATGGTCCATGCATTTTTTTCTTACATTATCATATTAAATTATACTTTTGTAGCGTCTTGTATTATCATAGTCATATAAAAGTAATTATGCAATCTAAAATGGTTTGTCAAAACATCCATTGCTGATTTATAATTTTACAAATCAGCATACACATTCAGCTTTATTAAAACCAGTTTTCACTGAGGCTTTATAAATACCACAGAGTTTTCCTCACTATAGAGTTTATAGAGCCAATGCAGCAAGAGGTGTTTGGCTAGCTAATGGTTAAACAAATATATCTTGTATTTATTCAATTACATGTGTCCACTTCTCCACAGATCTGACTTGTAACTGGGCCTAGTGATGTGGGCTGTTTGTCTCTATGGAGATAGTTACATAAAATGCTATCAAAAAAGTTGCACAATGCACCTTTTACATTAATTGCTGCCTTTGTCTTCAGTGCAGGTGCCATGTTTCGTCGGTGGGGTTGGAGCTACAGGGATTTTCAGGAGATCGACCTGTTCTCGGACCGTTATGCCACAAATGCAGAAACGCTGTCCCAGACCATCAGAGCAGCAGCTGCAGAGGAGCCAGACGCAGACGGAAGTGTGCTCTTTGGGCAGATGAAAGGCACTGTGGTGGGGCTGAGGTATTACACAGGAGTGGTAAGTCCAGTAATTATGCTTCTGTACGTTGGCTATAACTACTATTTGACAGATGATATTTCAGTAAATAAAAAATTACACCAAGATGCTAATCTAAAATGTTTAAAAAGGGACTGCAGATGTAAATAAGATCTGTAGCTATAATCCATCATATTTATCAATACAATTGTTCATTAATAAATAAATAAATAAATACATAAACTATTATCAATACAAGATACTCATTTGAACAATTATCAATTAAAAAGTAAGGCATGTTTATTTGTATAGCACAATTTGTACACAAAGCAATTAAAGGACTTTACAGCATAAGAAAGACTCTAAAATCACAATAGAGTCTTGTGGGGGGGTTACATAAGTAATCATGTGTGAATTAAAGTACATTTTCCTTCATTGTGCCAATATTCATGACAATCAGATCTCAATGTTTTTTCTCACAATAACAGACTATTTTTTCAGGTGAACCGGGGAGAGATGGTTGGTTTGGTGAGACAGCCCCAGAATCCATATGATCGAAATGCAGTGATGGTCGCCAATGTGTACGGGCAGCAGGTGGGCCACATCAAGAAAGAACTGGCCGCTGCAATGGCTCAGATCATGGACAACAACCTAGCCAAAGTAGAAGGGTGAGTCTGGTGATATCTGTCTGTATTTCAGCTTTTATAATAATAATAATTCTTGAACTTGGATAGAACCTTGAAACACACCTATAGCACTTTTCATAATGAATAGTTTATTTCACATATTTGGTAAATAATAAAATGTTTATATTTTTAATATTTTGATATATTTTATATATATATATATATATATATATTTACCATATTTGATAAATTATCACATTTTTCAATACGCTCAAAGCACTTTACAACAATGAACCACTCACACATTCATACACCAGAGTACACAGACACTGGATGCAAATTGGGTTAAGCATCTTGCCCAAGTACACAACAACAGCATTCATCTGTGGGAACTGAACTGAGCATCTGTCGCCCATATTTGACAATGACCACTTTTGTAATCACTGTTGCCATGGGGCAGGCTGATAGGGATGTGGCGGCCAATCTGCGCCAATTGCCTTGCTTATGTATGAAGGTGGTGTGTACACCAGGAGGTAGAAACAACATTATAGCTTTAAATCAGAAAATAGCATAATATGGGTCCTTTAATTGTTGAAAAGATAATATAATTGTAATTAATGAATCAGTTATAATTGATTTTGTTTTCCAGGGTTGTATACTCAGGAACCAACAACACTTTCTCAATGCCCTGTCATTTTGTCTTTTTGGGGCAAAGAAGAAAACAAAGAAAATGTGACAAAAACTTTGGCTCGACGTGGTTTCAGACTCGAGTCCAGCGTCAACTCAGGATCTGGATCTGGAGGTATACATTTTATTGTTTTCCTATTTATTTATTTTTTCGTATTAATAGCAGTAAAAAAGGTGAACTATATAAGTTTTTGGTTGTGGGTCTTTTACCTGCTTGTTTCAGTGGATATGTCACTGCTTTGCCTGGAATGTTTCACAATTATATACAGTATGTGTGTGTGTGTGTGTGTGTGTGTATATATGTGTGTAATATATGATTTATATTTTACTGTTCAAGAAACTCATGTAATTGTATGCTTGTTTTAAGGTGGGTATCAACAATCCAACTCAAAAGGAGGAAGACTGCCCATAAAAGGTGTAACAGTCCCGCTGACGGCAGAAGAGGTATTTTAAAAAGTTAAAAAGTACTGTAGTCTTGTTTTTTACAGTCATGTGTTTATTTGTTTATATATATTTTTCTACTTTTTTCTTGCAGCTGAAAAATGCTTTTGACAATTTGTTCGAAGGATTGATGGAAAGTAAAGACGGAGAGAAAGATGCTGCACATGTGGGTATTTGTATATTTTTTAATGACTCAGCACCCTCTTTTGGTCTAAATAGAAACTACATCAGAATATGCAGAATATTCTGCTTTCATTTACAATATGTGATTACAATAGGCTACAGACAAACAAATAACAGTTGATTACATTTGATTTAAATTCTTAAATATATTTAAATTATTTCTTTTTGAAGTAATAATAAGTGTTACAAGTGAGAAAATAATTTAGCTCAAAACTTCAAATATATTCTTAACCAAGCAGGAATACCTCGAAATGACTTAAGCAATCTAAATCAAAATAGATCTATTACAGCTTTAATGGTGCATTGTGTAACTTTTCTGGTTGAGGGTCCATCAGATGTTTTTCTCCATTGAGATGTTTGTTTTTGAGCTATAAAACCACTTGTGATTTATTAAATGTAAAGAAGAGCCATTTAATGTCATACTGTGGAACATTCCAGGCAGAGCCAAGACATATTTATAGAAAGAAGCAGGTGACGGACCTCCAACAAAAGATTACAGAGTGCAACTTTAAAGTTTCAAGTGATGTCAATTTCGTTTGACATTTTTAGTTTTTGCATTTAAAACTTTTGCGTCTTTTTAAATTCATAAGATATTTGATGTTTCTTTCTATAGGCAGTGTCCACCCCCCTCCTGCCCCATCAGAAGCAGGCTCTGTCCTGGATGTGTGCACGAGAAAACAAGTCAGGTCTTCCTCCGTTTTGGGAGAAGAGAGGAGAGCTGTACTACAACAGCCTGACCTGCTTCTCTTCTAAAGAGGTCCCAGAGAGGGTGCGGGGGGGCATCCTGGCAGACGACATGGGACTGGTAAGATAATACAATAAACATAGGAATATAATGGACTGGTGGGGGAGTCAGCTGCCTGATTATCACCTTGGAGATTTTATTGCTTTTATTGCTAACCTGTAACTTATCCAAGTGGCACTGCCTGCTTGTCTCCATGGAGATAGAGAGTTTTAATGCTGTACTGTGCAACATTCCAGGCAAAGCAGTAACACTTACATGCAGACAAAAATGTAGTGTGCCTTCAGCCAGAAATTAGTCAGAAATATTAAATATTTTACCTTGTCATATAACAAATCTGTAAATGTTTTTGTTAAAAATGTTAATACTTTCTGAAGCAGATTTGTTTTTAATGATGCATGTAACATTATTACTGTGGTTTGCGCTTTGTGAACTTTACTGTATTGTTTGTGAAATGAGCAAAGAATAAAAATATAGGAGCATTTAGAGACATTGTGCTATTATGGATTAGTGGTAATGTATAACACTTGGGACTGACCTGGACATAATGGCAAAAGTATATCACAATATTGAGATTAGATTATTTACAAGAGGGAATACAATGGTGTGTGAACACACCACCCATTTTAAAGTCCTCATATTGTTATTTTATGTATAATGTTGTTTCCTCATCAACTAACACCTGAGCTGTTTTTTGTTTCATTCACACATGTTAAACCAACAAATCCAGCAGGCTAAGTTCTTCTCTCAAACAGAAAACACTCTGTTCTACCTTGTGATGTCCTGTGATAATACAACTCCACTTATGTTTTTGAGGAGGTAACAAAATTATAACATGGCTTAAAGCTCTCACAAGAATCAGTTTTATGTTAGAGAAGATGTTTTAAATACATTTTAAAGGCTGCAAAAAACAATAACTCTGTCTTTCCCTACTTACTACAACTCAAGTCTCATTGCTTTGTTTTTTTAGGGGAAAACGCTCACTACTATTGCTCTTATTCTCACAAACTTCCACCAAGGAAAACCTCTGCCTGTTGAGAAATTTGTAAGTCTGAAGAACACATCACTAATAATCCTATTCTGAAATGTGTATAACTAATGATAACTATTTGTGTCAACAGGAGAAATCATCACCCAATAAGACCCCAGCAAAAGCCCCACAGAGTGAACCTCACCTGTCTGACATGTAGGTACTCTTTGCTTTGCTTATTGTGGTCTTCTGAGTGCAGTTCATAATACAACAAATTTTTAAAAATTTGTCTCCACTGTGAAATTTCAGTCAAGTTAAAAAAAATTGTATTTCTTGCAACGCTTCTAACTATGCACGGTCTTTTTAGGATACACTGAATTTAACATTTTCCAACATTCATATATTTTAAAATACTTTACTCAGGTTAATATGTTGACTTTTAATTGATTATTGATCAGTCCACAGATGGATGCCCCTGAAGACAACACAAATAAAAGTAAAAAAAAAAAAAATCTCATTTCAAAATTGTTTAACTTAAAACAGACTTAAAACTTGTGATTTTTTTGTTCTTTCAGAAATTGAAAAGGGAAAGAAAAAAGCTCCAAAGCGAGGTACAGTATTCAGTATAATTTAAATATAGAATTTCTCCCCCAAGAAAAGAAAAATTAAAGTCTATTTTATTTACACAGAAGGCGTAGTTTTTTTGGATGATTTGGACTTTGCTGCAGCTCTTAGTGGCTCCACCTCAAACACAGGCCAAAAGAAAAAGAAAACAGACAAAAATTCTGCTGCTTCACAGAGTAAGTTTAACCATGTTGTTATTGTAGAATATTTTATTTACTATTTAAAGGTGTACTATGTCACTTTTCTGGTGGGAATCTGTTACCTGCTTGTGTCCATAGAGATGTTATTGCTTTGCCTGGAATAATGATAAATAAGGCAATAAATCTATTGTGCATTTATTTCATTACAGTGGTCTCTTACTAAAAAAATACTTTGAAAAACACACGTTCCTACTGCAAATGGAGTTGCTTCCAAAGATCTGAAGGAAATTGTAAAATTAAATAAAACAAATAAATAATACAAATCACATACTAGTAGTTTTTCATAGTTTTTGAACTGCATTGTTTGTGAACATTGCATTGTGTAAAGCTGATGAAATAGGTAGAGACATTTATAGACATTCTGTTTTCAGGTGGGAATTTAACCATCCCTGACATTCCCGAGGATCCAACAGCTACAGCCACTCTTATCGTTTGCCCGCTCTCTGTGCTCAGTAACTGGCTGGTAAAAAAAACATAAAATCACATATTACATCACAGTATTTTTTTTTTTACTTTCAAAGACCATCAGATATTCCAAAATATATTTTTAAAGAGTTTAAAATACATTTAATTTCAACCAAGCTGAAGCCCTTAAGGATATAACACAGTTTAAACTTCTGATTACAGTTTTCCAGAAGCAAAAAATTGAAAATCAAATAATAATTATAAAATCTATTTTACATTTTATTTTCCTCACAGGACCAGTTTGAGCAGCATGTAAGTGTCAATGTTAAACTGAATGTGTATCTGTACTATGGCTCTGAGAGAAACAGGAGCCAGAAGTTTCTCTCGTCTCAGGACGTGGTCATAACAACCTACAATGTGCTCTCCACCGACTTTGGGGTGAGTTTTTGCTCTTCAGAATTGGGGAACACATAACAGCCATGATCATCTAGCACAAGGATTTCATGACCTAAAAAAAACATTAATCTTCTTCAGAATAAAAGTCCCCTACATCAGATAAACTGGCTCCGGGTAGTCCTGGATGAGGGGCATTTCATCAGAAACCCAAGCGCACAAATGACCAAAGCAGCTTTGGAGCTCAAAGCCTCACGCCGCTGGATTCTGTCAGGTTTGTACATAGTTTTACTATTTACAGCACCAATGACAAAGTCAAAAGTTAGGACAGCCTTCACAGCAAGATGGTCCAGGGTTCTATTCTCAGACAAGCAACCATTAACACAACCTTAATGTTGATATCTTGACCTGTTTCTTTCTCATCAATCATAGGCACTCCCATCCAGAACAGTGTGAAGGACCTGTGGACTCTTCTAGCCTTTCTGCGTCTGAAACCTTTTGACGTGAGAGAGTGGTGGAACAGAGTGATCCAGAGACCCGTCACCCAGGGTGACCGTGCTGGGCTGCAGTAAGAGCAGGATGTTTATTAGTGAATGTATCAATGAGTATGTGTGTCATCCGTAGACTGTAAAGAAGTGAACTAAGGGAATGTGACGTCACCAGTAGTATTCGACTCCAGTCAAATTAAGCTCATGAGACTATTGGTTATGAAAGAGAGAGAGAGAGAGACCATTTTGTGGTTAATTTTATGTTAATTTACCTTTTCCTGCTATACTTGAAACTCAAAAGACAACTGTAAAAGATATTTACAGTTACATTTTTGCACATTCCTGAAATGTATCTCCCTAAAGTTGGATTTGTGCTTGTTTTATTATGAGATCATGTGGTAAATACCTTATGCTGTATTTAGGAACCTCCAGACCCTGGTAAAGTGCATCACTCTGAGGAGGACCAAGACCAGTGAAGTGAATGGGCGCCCTCTGGTGGTGCTCCCTGAGAAGTCAGTGTTTGTGGAGCAGGTGGAGCTCAGCCCAGAGGAGAGAACAGAGTACGAACTTGCCAAAAACGAGGGACGAAACACCATCAGAAGGTACTAGAGAGTAATGATAATGATTTAACAGTATAAACCAGTCAAAATATTTCATAGTCTGTATTTATTTGTGTTTTTAGATATGTAGCAGAAGGGTCAGTCTTGAAGAATTATGCTGATGTTTTGGCGATTCTTATGCGACTCAGACAACTCTGCTGTCATCCAGACCTGCCCACCAAGATTAGTTCAGACCCAGGTAAAACAAAGGAGAAATGTTAAAACAATAACAGAATGTAATGAACATTGTGAAAAGAAACATACAGATTTTATGATTGTCACAGTATTGAGACCATAAAGAAAAACTAAAACTTTTTTGTCATGCATGTTTTGCCATTACGAGTTTAATTGCATGGAAAACAGAAAATCCTGCGTTGTTACTCTGAGTGGACTTGCATCTCCACAAACCTGACTCTTATTCGGCCTACATGTGGCCTCTTTCTTGTTTCCATGGAAATATTGTTCCTTTGGCTACAATATCCCACTGTACGTCATAAAACCTATCCACATCGCATGGTTTTAACTTTCAATTTCCATGGAATCATGCTTGGTACCTACTATCACTTTAAGTTAGTGTAGATATTTTCTATAACATAATTTGTAACTTGCATGTCCCCATAAAGATACACAAGTTTAATGCATTACTTGTTGAACATTCTTTCTTAAAGCAATAACATGTGTGAAGACAAAAAGTTACACAGTGTGATAAATGTGTTTATAACTTACAACTTCTAGTATGTGTTGGTGAATGGTTAAATATATTTAAAAGCTCAACAAAGTCTCTAAAGATCATGTGTGTATATTTTTAGGTTCAGATGCCACCCCCGCCGAGCTGAGAGAGCGTCTCATAGAGAAACTGCGTCTGGTTTTGGCGAGTGGCTCTGACGAGGAGTGCTCCGTTTGTTTGGATTCAGTCCGATTCCCCGTTATCACTCACTGCGCCCACGTGTACTGCCGGCCCTGCATCGCCAGAGTCATCAGCACACAGGAGGTACAGTAAAATCTTTCAACAACCTCTCATTTATTTGGGTTTAATTTATTTCCTGCTAAACAAACTCTTCATTGTGCAATCAGGAGAGGGCACGGTGTCCTCTGTGCCGCAGCGAGATCAGGACAAATGAACTGGTGGAGGTCCCAGAGGAGGAAGATACTGGAAACAGCACCAAGCAATGGAGGACCAGCTCAAAGGTGAATACAGTGTTGCAATAGGCCCACATAACTGACTGTATACTTTTGAGAAAGTATACAGTGGCAATAGAGGCACAATCTAATAAAAACGCTATATTAAAAATATAAAAACTGAAGAATAAATGATTGATGATTTCTTTGCTTTCTCCATGGAGACAAGCAGGCAACTGCATAATAAGGCCAAGTTACAGTTTTTGAGCCGGAAGACACCTTTAATCAAAAATGCAAGAAGTATTTAATGTAATACTGTGCAACATTCCAGGCAATGCATAAACTTCTCCATGGAGACAAGCAAGTTGCAGACCGCCCACCAGGAATGTTTAAATCAAGTTAAAACTAAACTATGATATTGCTGTTTGTGCTGGCTGTGTGCAGGTGCAGGCTCTGATGGGAAACCTGCTCAGACTTAGGCTGAAAGACCAGAGTGTGAAGTGTCTGGTGGTCTCTCAGTTCACTCGCTTCCTCACTGTCTTGGAGACTCCACTCAGGTATTACCAACACTGGAAATATCACTGTATTACCCCAGCTTATGAAATGTATATTATTTTTAAATTTAGAGCTATTGGAGTAATGCTGTTTGTATATTACATTCATTCAATCAATCATTGTGTTAATATTAGGCATGCACACTGAACTCAACAATAAGCAGATTATTATAAAAAAAATTTCCACACACATTCAAAAAAAAAGCAAAAACATGATCTTGAAGTTACGATACTTTACCAACATGTTCTGGGATACCTTTGATTCTTGTTTTCCTGTCCGTATCTTCAGTTAATTGTAGTTTTGATTATTAAGATCACAATATAATTTTAAGTACTAAAAATAATCATCAACAAAAGTAAGCAATTTCATTTGAAACAATGTTCTACAAAGTAAGCATATACATGTAAAAAGCATTTTATCTGCTTGTTTATGTCAAAATTACAAAACTTTTTCTTTCAGAAAGTTTGATTTTATAAAACTTGTGCAATAGAGACATGGTGTGTTCTCCTTACTCATGACAAACTGTAAAATAGTGATGTTGCTTCTTATAATAATTGCAACAGTAAAACCTATCTATCTTTAACCCTGTCTTTTGTCAGAGAGGAGGGCTTCAGTTTTGTGCGTCTGGATGGGACAATGACGCAGAAGAAGAGAGCTCAGGTGATCCAGGAGTTTCAGGACAGTTCCTTGGACAGTCCCTCCATCATGCTCCTGTCACTCAAGGCTGGAGGAGTTGGACTCAACCTCACTGCAGCCTCACATGTATTTCTTATGGACCCTGTGAGTATAGTTTTATTGTAACACTCACACTCATATTGCCTAGTATAAATGTGGCGTGAGTGGTTGGAGGGACCCATGGCGCAGATGGGCACCTTAACTTTGGTCAGTCTGCCCCAGGGCATGTAGTGAATGAGTATTTACTACAGTGTAGGGCTTTAAGTGTGCCTGTCATGATAACAAATTTTGAAGCATGATATATCACTACGGAGAAATATTGTGATAAACGATGATATTGAAACTACTAAGATTAAAATAAAGCAAGATAATCCCAGCAAATTCTTTTTTACATAGACAGTATCATTACAAGACATGAGCTGCACAAATAAAGTGCAGAATGAAGCCATACAAATGACTTATTCTACCTTCTACAGCTCACATCTTTTCGTATTACAATTAAAATAACAAAACTCCCCACTTTTTTGTACCCACGGTAAATATTGAGCCCCAAAATGTATTGTTCCAGCTTTCATACATTTAATGATAAGTCGATATAGTAATAATCGTGACAGGACTATCTTACACAAGCCTATAAATCACATTAGAAGTGTATGGCATTATCCTTTCATTGTGTGTAACTCTTTTACTGTGTGCTCTAGGCTTGGAACCCGGCGACTGAGGAGCAGTGCATTGACCGCTGTCACCGTTTGGGACAAAAAAGGAAAGTTGTTGTTACCAAGGTCAGTCATGAGGAAAACTCTGTCTCCAGGGAATTTTCTATGGCACCAAAAGCATAAAATGGCACTAAAGGACTGAGGATGGAAATTAGCTTTGGCTACTGTCCTGCGTATTCACAAGTACATGTTTGTCTTTTGCATTATCTTGTCCTTTCAATATACATTGTCTCTTTAATAAATAAATACTAATAAAATAACTACATAATACACATTTCACAATTCACAACTTTTACATGTTAAAATAGTTTAAAGTGCTCTATGTAGTTATTCTAGTATGGGGTCGGCCAACTGCTTGTTTCCATGGAGATACTATTGCGTTGCCCGGTCACCTGCTTTTCTTTACAAAGATAGATAAGTTTAATGTAAATATAGCTTAATGTGGGCGCTTTAACCATTGACCACAAACACGTGACACACACTCAAGTTGAAAGAATACTGTTATTGTAAGTAGACAGTGGACATTTCAGCAAAATGTATTTTTAAGTATATAAGTATTGAGCAACAAAACCATTTATAATTGAATAAATGTAAGGTAGATCTGTTTAATGTCAATGTCTGTGGAACATTCCAATTAGATCCATGACATTTCCACAGAAATAAGAATGTGATGGACTCCCAACTGTAAAGTTGCACAGTGCACCTCTATAAATGCTGTGGAACATTAAAAAGCAAAACATGGAGAAAAGCCGGTGACATAATCCTCCATCACAAACTTCCACTTGCACCTTTAATTTGCATTTTTATCACAGTATCCAAATCTGAAGTAACAGTTCTATCACTAAGATGAGTCTTTTTGTTTTCAGTTCATTGTGAAGGACTCTGTGGAGGAAAACATGGTGAAGATCCAGAAGAAGAAGCAGGACCTGGTAGACAAAGCTTTTGGAGCAGCCAACAGCAACAAGAAGTCCTCACGAATCGACGACATTAAAACTCTAATGGAGATTACAATTTGATTAAAACCTATGATCACTTTTGCACCAGATCTTTTGTTCTTAATAAGGTGTTGCAAATATTTTAATTTCTGTGTTTAATTTTATGTTGAAAGTTTCACAAAGTTTTATTGTAAAGTTTAAAGTTATATTAATGTAATCAGGAATACGGGCTCTCTCATACTGTATGCCTCTATGGTAAATAAGCCACTGAAATTTATCATTTCTCTACTGTCCCCTTGTGGTTTTACTTGGTACTGCATTCAAACGTTTCTAGTTGTGGTGAGTTTTTAGAAGAGTAATATTTATTTTTTGTCAATCAAGTACCATATCAAAGGAACCACAATTAAAATATGATTAATCTGGAACTGAACCAGGTCTAAAGGATTACACACTGGAAAAACTCTAAAGCAGGACTAATAGTTGTAAATCAAAATTACCAGACCCAAGTTGATAAGAACTAAGCCAATTTAAACCAGAGTTAACCATTAATGATATCACTGTTTTAGAAAACCCCACTTTCTACTACTGTGTATAGCTTTTTCTCACAAATAACAGTTACCTGTAGTTTTCTGGTCAACTAACTGTACCATAGCTTAAGATATTTGCCAAACATTTTATGAACATTGATTAAGCAATTCATCTTTTGTAAGAAGTTTGAATAGGAATCAAGGGCTTCCATTTGGGTCTAAGCAAGGACCAATCTGTTTTGTTATGTTCAGTTTACGCTTTTAAAGGTGATTGTGTAACTTTTCTGGTTGAGGGTCTGTCAAATACTTTTCTTCATGGAGATGTTATTGCTTCATTGGGAATGTTTCACAGGCAGTTTGATAAAAGCCAGACAATCTTACTGGCCAGATCTGTGGAGAGGTGGTCATAAAACCACCTATAACTGAGTAAATTTAAGCTAGAGCGGTTTAATGTCACACTGTGGAACATTCCAGCCAGAGCAATGACATATCCATAGAAACAAGCAGCTGACAGACCCAACCAAAAAGTGTGTACCTTGAAAGTCATATGTTGATTAAAAAAAAAAAAAAAAGAACACAATAAATGACATTTCATATTACATCAAAATTCTCTTTTTATTAGATTCAGAGGGATGTTTTACAGCAGTTTCGACCATAAATTAATACAACTATTTTTCACATATTTTTCAAGTAGCACATTTATGTTTTGTCAGGACTGTCTTGTGGTCTACAGAAACTGTAGGAGCTATTGTAAGAGGTTTAACATTATCTAGATCACATCTGGAGACGTATTAACAGATATATGGATATTACAGGATTTATTTAGAGCCACTATAAGCAGCTATTGTGAGGTTTGTAAACTGGTATAAGGCAGCCTTTTAACTAGACAGGTGATGCTAGTAATGTTACCATGCAGACGTTATGGGGACATTTTAACTCACACAAAATACAAAAATAATGAACCATGACCTTAAAGTTGCACTGTGTAACTTTCTTGGAGAGGCTCCACCATCTGCCCATCTCTGTGGTGATGTTTAATGATGTACTGTGGAATATTCATCTTGCATTCATTCAGTTAAAGCTGTTTTTCCTGCTCATAACTGTACCTTGAAATAAATGCATGCTTACTGTGAATGGCGTCGCTTCTCTATAGCTCTGGCCTGTAACACCATCTTTAGCATGGTGGTGTCACATGCATATTTGTATGGAAATGGTCAAATCTAATACTGTATTGTGGCACATTCCAGGCAAAGCAGTAGCATCTCAATGGAGACGAGACCTCAGAAAAGTTACACAGTGTACCTTGTAACATAACATTGAAAAATACAATGACACTGAAACGTGGTTGGACATAAGTGCTAGTTTTAATAGGTGCAAGTAAATGCGATTGTCCAGAGAGGAAGAGGAAGCAGTTTTAACGTGAAATTGAGGATTATAAAGAGTTTCTATTTCCATTCACATCTAAAGTACAGCCATTTTAGATAGGAAGACTAAGGATTGGTTAAGAGAAGGTTTTAAATTATAAGAAGTATTGCACATTGGCTTCTGGTTAATAGTTGGCATTCTTGTTTTAATGCAAGACCTATATTTAGAATGTGGTTTTATAAGAAAGTTTCAAGCTATGGCTCATTTCTAAATATGTGTCAAAATGCAACCATTCAATTGCAGTTTTATTGTTTAATACCATGGAAATAACTGAGTTAAACTGAATGATAGCCTGTGATTGGCTGGAGGCTTGTGGGTTAAATTCCCAAGAGGGTGTTTCTATTAAATGTCCATGTTAAGTGTTGGCTGCTACTTTAAAAATGTGTCTAGTTTGCGTTCAATGTTGGCGAAGGAATCGTCTCCCATGTAGTCGATTTGGCCGGCCTCCCAGCGCTTCTTCCTCTCCTCAGACGAGACCTTTGGGGGTTCAGGAATGGCGGGGGCAGCCTGAGGGGGTGAATCTTCCTGGTCCTTATGCTGAAAGAAAGATGATGAGGGAACAATGAAAAAAATTGTCTAAAACAGTGTGTGAGAGATACAGAACTATATTCTTACCAAATTCCATACACAACTGTACAACAACTCACTCTTATGATAATTTACAGGACACAGGGTTGTCTGTTACATATCATTACATTATTTCTATATTTTATATTATTTTTCCTTGTACATATACATTTAATTAGTTATGCCTTCTTTGACACTGGTCCCTTGCCATTTTTGCTACTTATTTTTTGGAATTTATTTACCATTTCTCTTGTTATTATAATATATGATGTGTGAGCCATGGTCAAGTAATTTCCCTTGTGGACCAATAAAGTTTGTCTAAGTCTAAAAATTATAGAAAAGTTAAATCCTTGCCATCTTGGCCTACATTAGAAGTATTGCCCTTATTTTGCCCTATTAACCCATACCTTTGTTGTGGTGACAATTCTGGTTAAGTGGGAATCACATTTGCCAAAATGGAGAATCTGAGAAAAGTTTGCAGCTAAAATATGAAATAAAGTAGGCTGACTTGAGAATGTAGTTTGGATTGTTTTGGTATTTTTGTCATAGCAATATAAGACCCCTCTTAAATTTGTGTTTTTGTATTCTGCAGTTTTGATGCATTTGTTTTGTATTGATTTTTTTTTCACCCGGAAGCAGGACATTAAGCTGGGTAAAATGGGACAGAAAGATGAGGCATTTCATAGTTTATCTTAGGGATGGGCAGTATGCAAAATTTATATTAGGATTCTCCAGAGGCTCAAGATCTCAAGATCAGAAAAAACTATTTATTTGATCATATTTACCTCATATCTGGAGATGCATGTCATGTTTGCATGTCAGGCAAAAATTCTGCAAACTACCACCATTTTAACAAATACTTTGAAATTTACAGTCACATTTGAGCACTAACAGATTGTCAGTATCTGCCACCCTTAGTAGATCAGCTCATTGGTTTGGCAGAGGTTTCTTTTAAGTTTTCCAATTTCTTATTTTTTGAATATTTGAGCACTGATCCACCTTTTTGTTCACAGTCTTAAATACTACCTTGTTTTCCCCCCTGTACTGTAGCCGTAGTTACAATACTTTATAAGGACTGGTTTTCTCAAGTTAGGCCTCACTGGCATTTCCCCACAGTGGAATCTGAGCTTTTTATATCCCTCACACAGGAAACTAAGAGCACTTTTGTAACACTTAAAGATAATAAGACCAAAGTTTACCTGTAAATGAAAGCTAATGGACAAAAGTAGGTTTAAACTCCTGTGTCAAGTAGTTTATATTAACAAGGAGATTTTGTTAACAATGAAAAAATGCTTAATTTTGTAACAGTGGTTTGCTTGTCTGTGTGGAGGTCAAATGAGGACAGGAACCCAGTAGCTCACAATGCCATACAAATGAGCTACTTACTACATTATAAATTGAGATTTCAATAGCAAATGCTTATTCAAACAAGTCAAAAGGTTCCGAACATTGGTTTCTTGAGAATGACAATATACATTATTTTGAAAAGATATGGATTTGACTATGGCTTTTTAAAATGCCTTGTAACTATATAATGACAATGTTTAAACTTGTCCAAGGTTGTTTCAGTTCAAGGGTAAATATTTCTGGATCGAGACATGTTGCAGACATGTTCCAGACATTAAAAAGTATCAAGTCTTACTATTTCATGACCTAACCCACAAAATAACTTAATATATAGTCGGAATTCACAATGTCATTTTACAATAAACGTAAAATCATGGTACCAAATTTGTTACTAGTTTTGGTGAGAATAGCATGGCATTCACATAACCAAATCTAATTTGGAAATTTGTCAGGAAATGACCAAGTTGGGAGGAATGGGAAGAAAGTGGAGTGACCAAGTTAAGATAAATAGAAGCCCTCTCAACATTACTGTGGAATGTGCTCTTCTACATAAGCAAGAAGACATCCATCTACCAGTGTAAAATATAAGGTTAGACGAGCAATTTTCTTCACATATACAAATACCGGTAATGTTGGATTCTGGCTAGGCCTGTCAGGATAACAAATTTGAAGCATGATATATTGATATAAATGATTACATTTAAACTACTTTATGCCACTGATACAGTAACAATGCTAGATAATTCCAGAAAACCATTTTTAAATAGACTGTCATTCAAAAGGCCTGAGCTGCAACAAATGGCAAAATGAACCAATAATTAGCCATAGATTCTTCTACATCTCAGATTTGACCTTGTTACATAAAAGGCAAAAATCTCCTCACTTTAACAAAGAAAATGTACACACAATATGTGCTGAGCCCCAAAATATATTCCAGCTTTCATATATTGAACAATAAATTGCTAGATATTTTCATGACAGGCCCAATTCTGGCCTGACTTGATTCAAAGCTGTCAAAATTGCACTGGTGCTTATTACAAAAGAGGATTGCATATTTCCTGCAGCCTGTGAAGTGGTTCTCGTAAACATGGCAGCACGTTAGTTATGCTTGGTTCAGTCCATTCATTTAGACATCACTGAAGGCTGGTTATGTTAGAATGGGCTTTTAAAGAGTCTGGAAGTATTATCATTATTATTAGTAGTATCTAAACTAGATACATGAGCAAGTACTGATTTAAAGAAAAAAATACATAAATAAAAACAGGACAAATCTGACCTTTCCTGAACAATTTTAGAATAATTTGGAGCTTAATCAGGACTAATGTAAGAACACATAGTAACAAAGTACTATTACTATGTGTTGAACTATTGAGCATTTTTAAAATTTTCATTGGGGTATAGAAATCAGTAGTGGGTTTCAGCTGTAGGATTTCAGAATGATGAAACGCTATGACTGTTTCCATAGCAATTAACCATTAAAAACAAAATATAAGGAGCCATTTTAAGAACTGTCCACCATTCTGAACATATAAGAGGAAGTTGAAACCCAAGAACAGAGTATTATTTAGTATCTTAGTATAAAGTATGGTATACCACTTGAATAGAGAGTGGGGGGGGGTCAACTACTAAAATAAACATTATTACTATCTCCTAAAAATATTGACTCACCCCTTTGTAATATAGAAAAAAATATATATATCTTTATTATTGTAAAAAGTAAAACATGCACTGACAGACAGACACTGCCTAAGGCCAAATACACTGTTACACCCACCACACACCTACACACGTACACAGTCACGAACACTTATTTAGTTTTCCTGTCCTCCTGTCCTCTATGACCTTATATGCTGTAATTTTATGAAGATTTTTTTCCCCATATTGACTTAAAGATGCACTGTGTAACTTTTCTGCTAATCTCCATGGAGATGTTATTGTTCTATGCATATGCATTTATTCCATAACATGATTTTTATTGACCTAAAAACTTAGTGTGAGCAGGCTTGTGTCTCCATGGATCAGACATGTAACCTTGCCCAGTGATATCACCTGCTTCTCTCCATTGAGCCTTACTTATTTATCTCTACAGAGACAGCAGGTGATAGACCCTCCCCCAGAAAAGTTACATAGTGTGCCGATTAGTTACCCAGTCAACTGTGGTAACTAATTAGCACAGACCACAGTTTATTTTACTAACACGTTCTGAAACTTGAGGACTGCACTTTAACTTTGTATCTACTTGAATCTATGGCGATAATAATGCCTTTACTAAAATGTCTCACTGTAAGGCATTACACCTATTCATCTCCATGGAGACAAGCAGGACAAGTTACAGATTGAGAGTATGAATTACCTCGACAAAACCGCTGTTGTAGGGTACATCTCCGTAGGCCTTCTGGAGGAGGGGGGCCACAGATTTGGCGTAGAGCTGCCACCACTGGAGCAGGTAGTTCGGGTGCAGGTGTCCCGGCTGCTGTGACACTGTATGACCTTTGACCTCTCCCTGCTGAGGGTCGTACGAGTAGTTCCACGGTTTCACCTGACCCAGGAAGTGCACTACTTTGGCATTATGACCGTACCTGCATAAAAAATAATGCAAAATAAAAATGTTTTATACTCAATACTAAAGAAAAAAAAGCATGATACTACTAGATACATGATATATTGCTACAGAGAAATAAAGTGATAAACAATAATACAGGTGAAACTAAAAAGATAATTCCAGTAAACCAATTTTAAGCATTATCATTAAAAAAGGCATGAGCAGCTCAAATCTTTTTGTATTATATAAAAGAACAAAAATCTCCCCACTATTGCAGAGAAACTACACAGGATAAACACTGAGCCCCAAAATACACCAGTGCAGTCTAAGTCAATAAAGTAATTAGGCCTGCTTGATATCAATGGTCAATACTACATGCAAAAATACACTATTCATACTGGTCAAAGGTGTACTAGTACCAAACCACCAAGTATTTTATTCTGCCAATTACATTAAATTGTCTTAAAGAAGAGTTATCTATGTGACCGAAACTGATAATGAATAACAAGCCATTTCCTTAGTGTTGTGATAGATCAATTTGAGTAACACATTTAATAGTTTTAGTATGGTTTAGTACTTGCATTAAAAATTTCTTTCACAAGCCAAACAGATACTTTGGCTCAGTGAATAGATCATTCACCCACAAACCAAAAAGTGCAAGCTGCATTTGTATCCTTTGGCAAGACACTTCACCAAATCATTAACAAACCACACTGGCCACACTGGTTTGTGTGTGACCACACAAACCAGACCAAGTTACAGGTCAAATCTGTGGAGATGCAACCCCACTCACAGTCAAAATGCCTGTTTTTCTAGGTATTACTGAGCTATAAAACCACCTCGTAATTAAAAAAAATGTAAGGTAAAGCTGTTTACTGTCATACTGTGGAACATTCCAGGCAGCGCAATGACATCGATAAAAAGGTGACTGAGCCCGAACCAAAAAGTTACATAATTCAACTTTAACACACTAACTTACTGCAATTACCGAAAGTGTACTGGTAGACAATTTGTGCCCATATTAATACGCTTGGTTTATTTGCACATAAACAGATCAAAATAGAGGCAAGAATTCAAACCAAAACACACAAAGGAAATCCTGATCCATTGTGTGGAACTGGACAGGTGCCAGTCTGGAGACACTCACTGTTTAAATGCTGGTAGATACGAGTAGATGGCGATACTGCTGAGGTTATAGATGAACGGGAGGTGCTTTGAAATGTCTGCAGTCGCCCATGTGTCAAAGTAACTGTTCAGCACACCCTGGTCTCCACCTGCAAAAAAAATACAATAAATATATAATGCATACATAAAATAAGTAAATATACAATAAAATACATACATTAAATTAAAATACAATAAAAACAAGAAACAAGCTAAAAATTAACCCACTGTGTCTCAGATTTGTTTATTGATACTTTGCAGCTGATGTGATCAACATTCCCTGGGCATGTGATGCTAACAGAAGGCACTGCTCTGTCTGAAGCTCTGTTTAATCTGAGCTTTGTTTTAACACAAAAGAACAGACTTGGCTGGAAATACAACAGGTGAGCCGATTTGTGCTGTTAAACAAGTTTCTCTCAAATAACATTAGTCACAATTAACAAGCCTTAGCCAACAGCTTTTTCAGTTGGTTACTCATGTTTTTGTTGAAAATCAAACACTTAAACAGGATCATGAATCACAGGCATTGATCACAGGCTCCTGAACACGCGTTTATATCCTTTTATATTTTTTCTTGAGCTTCAGACAAGCTTCATTTTTTTTGCCTGTGTTTGGTAAGGTGTACATTGGGTCGCCATGGTAAGTGATTAACATTATCACAGGGATACATGTAGATCACCCCCAGCATGACGTCAATGCAAAGTCACTAGAATGTATTTTAATGTAAGTTTGTATTGATTATGGCTAGGAAAGAATTCTGGATATTTTTTATTTGTATTTGGAAATTGTGATCACCAGTTTGAGTGGGGATCATGATGAACCAACACTAAAGCACAATTCCAGGCTTGCTTTTGGAAATACTCCCTCAGATATTGTGTGCCCACTCAAAAGCTTGACAGATTTACACAAAAGGACAAAACAGTATCATTTTCAACAACGCAAGCTAAAAAATATAATAAAAGCAATCAGTTCACCACTATTCAAAACTAGAGCTGGGAATCACAGGGTCCCTCAGGATTTGATATGATACTTGATACAAGGCTCATGATTCGATATTATCATGATATGTGATAAATGATATAGCTCTTTTTAAAGAACTAAAAATACATTTTAGCAAAGTTTTTCTTTTTTAAACCACAACTTGTGGAAAGTTAATATGAAATACATCCATTTTATTCAGCAAAACAGTGAATATGTCAAGTGTATTGCGAAAAGAAAACAACTGCTAAAAGATACCAAAAAACATTTATCGATATCAACATTGATGCAGTATTGTTATCGTGAGGTGCTGTATCACCAAATTATGATATAGATATATCAATATTTTTGCACATCCCTATTCAAAACCAGTAAAACTAATTGAATAAAATTAAAATCACCAGTCATATTTTCTCAGTTCAACCTCTAACAGGATTTAGCTAAAGTAAGATTGTGTTGTTTTTTTACCATCAAAGCTGCCATTTTCTGAACAGAAGGTGAGCAGTTTCTCGTGTGTTTCATTGGACGGTTTGAACACAAAGACTCCTGAGTTGAAACAGTCTGGCCAGCCTGGGTCTGGAGCAGCTGACAGCTCCTCCCTCTCAAACAACTCATCAATGTTTGACAGCACCTGAACACAAGAGGGCGCAAGAGGTCATTTATACAAACTACAGCAGTTAATGGTTTATTATTGGAATTCATGGCAATCTATCCAGAAGTTGTTTCAGTGGGATTTGTTATTGTGCCCTGCCCAGTTAAAAGAGTTGGGTTTGGGAGGGCATCATGGCTTGAACAGTTGATATATCCCAATGTATACAATGTACTCACCATTGTGTCTGCGTCCATAAACACACACTTGCTATACTGAGTAAGGGTCCAGCAGTGCAGCTTTGTAAACGTCACTCCCAGATCAGGACGCTTCATCAGGGCCAGGTTCGCCGTGTCTCCAGAGTTGATCAGGTTTACCACACACACTTCATCGAAAATAGACTTCATCGCCTCTCTGCAAAAATATAGAAAAACATGTCAGTGCTAATTCTATGGAAATGTAAAAAAAAAAAAAAAAGCTTGTTGCTAACTTTTTAGGACTGTAAATTACTTAATACTTCTAGTCACATTTGGAATAGTTACCATCGCTGATATCTAATATTTCATCTAACTTGATCTCTGCACAAGGGGAATCATTTAGAGCTAACCCTAACCCGTCTCTCATTGCAACAGAACAAGTCGAAGAATGCAACTTCAGTTAAAGTGAAAGCACAGGCATCCAAAAATGCACAAAGTTCTTCCCTCATCTTTTTACCTTTTTTCAAAAACATAATAGTCTGTATTTCCACAAAAATAGGTTGAAGTATGTCTGTCGCCATAGCATGTTTGTTTTGGTTTATTTGGGGCTAGGTTCGGCCCAAACAACAGCTCTGCCCTGTTATTGGTCAGTCTCCACACAGGACCTGTCGCATGCAAATGCATCAGGAGCTGAACAAGACAGATTCTTTTTGTTTGTGAACTCAGAAAAACCACGAGACTTAAACTTGCTTACAAGGCTACCGCCCCCTGGCATTGTCTGGAATTCATAGAACTGTAGTTACATTTGTAAGTTACACTCTCTTCTCTCTTTGATAAGCAGGATCACAGCTGACCCTTCTCACCCTGGACATAGTCTACTGGGGTCACTCCCCGCTATTATTTTTGCACTGTTGTTAAACCCATTTTGTAGTTCAATATCCAAGTGTATGTTTAGTCTGTTATTTTAATGCACACCCTTATTTATATTCTATGATAGTTCATATTTACCATCATTAGCAATTGTTTAATGTTGCATCACACTGAAGACTCTGGTTTGTGAAAGTCGCTCACTGACTAATAGCAATAAAACATTCTGATAAATCTCACATGCAGCAGTCTGTGACGTGGGGTCCTACGAGTGCCACGAGCTTCCTGGTGGTGTTGTGGTCCCTCAGAGACTGTCCGAGAACCATGGCTCCTTTGGCGTAGCTGTCACTGGTCGCCAACGTCACAAAAGCTTCTTCTGGACAGAGACAAACACAGCTCAATTATATATTTTAAAAACAGAAATAAACAATAAACATGTTTTATATTGCCAGATACTGCAATAACAGAATTTATTTTGGCAGATCTAAAAAGGAGTTCAATTGCATAAACAAGATGTCACCATTTTGAAAGTTTGTCAAAGATTTGTTCTATATATTCTATATTACCAATGAAAACAATGTTGACCGTGTTTTAATCAAAAGGTAGGATGGAATAACATCAGTTGTCCATGGACTTTTAGAAGGGTCCATATTACGCTATTTTTTATTTACGTGTGTTATACCTGGACTTGAGTTGTTTCACAACCGTTTGACACACAAATCCTGCATATTTAGTGTGCTTCTCTCAAAACACTCCACCTTGTGATGTCATGTGGTAAAACAGGAAGTGCTCCACTGTGTTTTTAAACTCCATACACCTTCACTGGAATCATTTCAATAGTTTTTAACTTCAAAACTACAACTTCATGACATCACAAGGTGGAACAGAAAATTTTAAGCTTTGGAGATGTAGACCGAACAATAAAGGGATTTCTCAAACACATTTGAATGAAACAAAACATAACTATGGGTATGTTTTTAATAAGGTACCATCATAAATAAATATACCTTAGAGCTCACAAGAGTAAATTTTGTGTACTATTTTACCTTTAAATAGCCTTTATCTGTTTTTTATTTTGCAAAGGAACTCTTCACTCATTCACTTTTTAGTAATATGATCTACAGCAGCTCATCTGTTGAATAGGACCACACAGGGCTGCCTCCTCCTGCACTACCCATCTCCTGTTGCACTCTGCTCTATATCAGACCACATTTATTTAATAGACAAAACAATGAATCTCCTGCCCACAACTGCTCAGCCCCTTTGTGTCTACTGACTGATAGTTATAATGAAATGTGTGAACTTTCAAAAGAAGCAAATACATTTTAATGCAATAAAATGTGGTTGGACAAGAACTAACCTAACAAAATTGCAATCTATTTTTTTGTGCTTTACCCCATAGCCAACTCTTGGTTTTACACATTTACACATTTCCTGTTTCTTTAACACACTGAGGGCAAAATGTTCACTTGCTGTATATTATATTCCATCAGTTTAAGTTATTTGAAATCGCTGTGGTGATAATGGAATCAATGAAATATGGTCTGCTATGTACATTTTCTGAAACTTTTCTAGTCTTCATAAAGCAGTTATTGCTTTGCCTAAAATATCCACAGTATCGCATTATACTTAATTTGCATTTGTTCAATTATTCATGTTTTATTCTTACTGTGACTGAGGTGACTTCTCCACAGATCTTTAACTTGGTCTAGTAGCACTACCAGCTTTTCTTGTTAGGCATAGTTTAACTTTTACTCTGGAACATTCTCGGAAAAGCTATGCTCAAACACTGACAGTTTTTCTTTTTTCTTGGTTAGGGTTATTGGGCATGTGGTATAAATTGGTTCTGGGGATGTTAGTAGTAATGAAAATCGCATATTAAGCAATACTAAAACTAGAATCAAAACTAGATATAGTATTGATACTGAAAACAACACACCACAAGTGATAAAACTATAAATTAAATTAAAATTAAATTTTCTTGCTGAAATTACCACACATAAATTTGTTATCATAATAAGCCTATTCAAAAGTGCCCATGATGTAACACAGTTTTGCTGCCGATGCTCGTTCAGTGAATCCAAATGAACATGTGTGTTTCCACGGTTACAGGAAACCCCTCCAGGGCAGCAGGGGCAGAGCTGCAGCTGTACTCACAGACACTGAGACCAGGCTGAGTGGGCATAAAAGGTGTGACAACGGAGATGAAATATAAAAGATCTGTAGATTTATAATTCTGCAGTATGTGTTAGTGATTATAGTATTTTTAGTATTATTAAATTATCTTTTACTCACTGCCCACAGGTTTATTGAACAGGACAGCAATATATTAAAAAGGTCCTATACATTATGCCAAATTGACTCTTGTGAGCTTTAAGTCATGTTAAAATACTGTAACCTCATCAGAAACATACCTGGAGTTGTGTTTTGTTACATTCACATGTTTGAGGAACACTTTATTGTTACTCTGTCTATATCTCCAAAGCTCAAAATGCTCTGTTCCACCTTGTGACATCATGTAGCAGTAGTTTAAGTTAGCAGCTACCTTTTTTTTAACCTTTCAGTAGAGATTAAACACAGCGGGGCACATCCTGTATTACCACATGATATCACGAGATGGAAGAGAGTGTTTTCAGTTTGAGAGAAGAACTCAGCCTAAATATGCAGGGTTTGGTTGGAAAACATGTATGAATGAAACAAAATTCCAAATATGTTTTTGATGACAACATTGATCAGTAAAATATGAGTCAATTACAGATGCTGCAACCATAAGATTAAGTACTATTGATTATGAGCAGTTAATTTAAATTGATTTAAAATACTGTTTAGTTATCAGGCTTTGAAAAAACTTTGTGAACTGAAAAACTAGGTTAACCACAATGAACACGAGTCACTATGTCAGTTAATGTATTGCCTGTGAACCTACAAGCCTATTATTATTATCATTACAAAGCACCACTTTGTGACAAGTTTGAACTGAGACAAACAAAAGATGACTACCAATATTTAAATATGAATAATAATAGGTGTACAATGCAAGTTCATTTCAGGGTTTCACCATAAAAAGAAAGTTTCCACAGTGTTATCTATGGGGTAAGATAAGGGCCAGTGTGAAGCAACAACATAACACAGTAAGATCTGACAGGACTTCAGTTGGTCATTTTCAATATCAGGCCTTTCTAGTCACAAAAATGTGAACATACTTTTACAGTTACTTTATTGGCAATTGGCCTATCTAAGCAACCATAAAACTGGTGAATACACAACTCTACAGTAGTAGTAGTTTAGCAAAGTAATTTACAAATAGTTAAAGCCCCAATGCAAAACTTTTCAGTCCCAAAATTAAATTATTATTTTTTAGTTTGCACAAACTTGGTTCTGTACCGTGTCAATGAATCAGGTGCCTCCTCCAGAAAGTTACACGGTGTTGCTTTAAAATGGTAACACAAAATAGTTTAATTTTCATTGATAATTTAAGCAACAGTTGTAAAAGTAGGCCTAGTATTAAAACGTGAAACTGGGAACAGAGTGTAGACACAACACCTTTTAAACTACTTTGTTTTTACGAGCTTTGATTGTTCCCCACAGAGCGCACAGCCTGTTGGATTAATCGTGGATGGAGAAAAAAAAACTTGGGATGGCGCACGTCCGCACTGACTGAGCCACTGTGCCAGGTTTGCGGAAATCACCCGCGAGCGCACAGGAAGTTACACTGAGAAATACAGAAAATAAAAGCCTATGCAAAAGCGTGTGTAGAAATAATGTGAAACAGTTTGAGTTTTGGACTGCTAAAAATGTACTCATCTGAGGGTATGGCAAAATTTGTAAAAGGTTATCGACAAGTTATGCAAGAATTATGCAAGACAATAGGGTAGGCCTGGTGCAGAGTAACATGAGGATTGTGAAATGCTTTTAAACTTGAGCAACTAGTTAACGTAATCTACAGTGTGTTGAGTATTACGAAAACACACCTTATACGAGTCTATATGCGGATTTTATTTTTTCAAAAAAGCTTGCTTATTTTTAAAGACTGAATTTTCCCATTAAGCTACGCTAAAACCACGAACATTACATAAAATATATCATACAATTTCTTTAATTGATTACTTTAAATAACATTTGTTGCATTCATTTTATGTGTGTATGCACCATCTATGTATCCGTGTATGATTTGATCAGTTGGCCTGTGCGCAAAGGGAGTCATGTTCAAAATGGCACACTCACAGCAGCCATACATGGACACATTGTTCCCAATCAACTGAATTACTCATAAATCTTTAATGAAATCCACAATTTCGGATAAAGGATTTGATTTTTAAAATAAACTTTTACTCAAATATAAAAGTTTTACGCCAAAAAGTTTTAATCAGATGAAATGAGAATGAGTAGTTTTTTTTTTATTTAACTTTGAAATTCTTAAACGGATTGTCTAATGTTGTGCGTTGCTAAATTTCCTTTGGTCCAAGTCGCCGCATTATCTGTCATCACATTCAATTCATAACTTTAAAATTTGTCCACGGTCTAAAATGTGCACGCTCCACGCCACGCTGGTTTGAGGTGCACACTCCCACCCCACGCGCTTCTCCACTGCGACACGGCTACCTGTGCGTAAATATCGCGGTATTTTTTAGGAAGAGGCCATCTCGCCAGAGTCGGCCCTCACGCAGCCTCCGACCACCGACCAACTCCAGGGAGCATTTTCATACCAGACATGGTGCTGCAGAGGCGGGGAGCGTCCAGCCGAGCTGCGGGGGTCCTGGTCCTGATGATGCGGGGAGGCTTGCACTGCGAAGGGCACAAGCTCAGCAGCTGCGAGCAATTCAACACAGGAATTAAGGCCAGCATTTTCCGGGTCACGTGGGCAGCAGAGACAGCGGACACGCCCACTCATTTTTTATTTTGGGTAATATAAAAAATAGTTGATGTCCTGTTGATTTAAAGGGGTAGGCTGCACTTATATAAAACGGTAATATTTAGGATTTATTCATTCGTGAGTGGTGCATCTCCATCTAGACTTATAGTGTAACAACAACAATCTGTTTCCTGAGGTAGGTTAGCCTACCTGGACTTTAGTATTAATGAAAAATTAAATACATAATTGCTTATTGCATACTAGGCTGACGATATAGCTTCCAACTCTTTGCTACTTGGTTTATGCCTTGGTCAATAGCCTACTCCATAAACTAAAGGAGGGTTTAACCTGTAGTTTAACCTTTGGTCTCATGCTAGACCCATACTGTCATCAAAGTCAAAAATTGTTAGGCCAGCTATCGGCAAGGGTCTCAAGGGTCTCTTTGTCTCTTGATAGTCATGGTGCTTTAAACCTTCCTTCCTTTTTGTTGTTGTGCTCAATGATACATGTTGAATGAGACCTACTGTTCAGTGGTTAACCATCCACAAAATACATTGTCCAAATAACAGTATCTGGTGCAGTAGTGCCTCTGCGTGGACAAACCTTTAAATTACAGCTGCAATTGATAAATTTTGACAAATTTTTTCACTGATTTAAGAATACTATTAGCCTACTATTACTAACCCTCTAGTATGTTAGTCATAATATCTCTACTAATGTTACTATTGCAGCCTGGACTACTACAATTGTATGCTCAGCCTGTATTATAGGCCCACATCTATGAAAAACCATTTCACCAAGTCACCAGGTAAGTGTTATGGTCAATGTTTAAAGCTGCACTATGTAATTTTCCGATAAAGGGTGGGCACCTGCATATGTGAAATATCGTATTATGCCTGGAATGTTCCACAGTATGGCCTTAAACTTGCCCACCTTCACGGAGACAAGCAGGTGACACCAGAAGCCAAGTTACAAGTCAGATCCGTGAAGATCTGATGGATCTGACTTGTTTTTCACAGTATTTTTGAGCAATAAAACACTTGGAAATGAATAAATATAAGATGGATACGTTTACTGTCATGCTGTGGAAAATTCCACTGTTTTTTTATTATTACTTAAAATGTGTACTTTCCGTAATGTTGTTTCTTCATCAAAGCCATACCTGGAGTTGTGTTTTGTTTCATTCACACAGGTTAAACACGTAAACGCATAATTAGGTTGAGTTCTTCTCTCAGACTGAAAGCACTCTGTTCTACCTTGTTATATACTGTGCTTTTAAACTCCATATACCTTCATTGGAATCATTTGAATAATTTCAGACCTGGAATTTCCAATCTCTACAGAACAAAAGGTAAAAGGTAGCTGTTAACTTGAAAATAACCGCTTCATGACATCACAAGGAGGAACAGAGCATTTTGAGCTTTGGAAATGTAGACAAACTAATAATAAAGAATTACTCAGACATGTGTGAATGAAACAAAACACAACTCCAGGTATGTTTATGACGAGATAACATTATAACATGGCTCAAAGCTCACAAAAGTCATTATGTGTAATATAGGACCTTTAATTGCTGCATAATTCTTTCTTATTTGCTTACACCTCAGTGCGCATGTGTTGAAATCCAGTGAATTATTGAGAAGCTTTATGAGAAAGTCCTTATACTTTTGCTCCACCAGGGCTGATCCCAGGTCAGTGTAATGGGCTCACCTCGATCACAGCACTTGCCTGAATACCTATCCCAGAACAGGTCTTTTGATGGGGACCGTAACCTGATCTAATGGGTGAAATCAGACCTAGTGGGTGACACAGCAAGAAGCAGGACAACTTTCTAGACAATTGCTCAAACATGGAACGCATGGAAGAACCTACACATGATCCAACCATAAGGTAAGCTATAAAACACTTAATGATGATGTGTATGGGTTTATATAAGGCGCCAGTCTGAATGAACTTTTGAATGTATGCAAAGGTGAAAGGCACAGGAAGTACACTGCACGAGGCTTTAGTAATAGAGAATTAGACACAAAGGACTAAATCTAAGCAAGCTGATTTTCACAGCTCTTCTGAAAGTGTGAATGAAAACTGGAGTGAACTATAATCTTCTATGGCCTGGCTGCATGTAAGCTCTTTTGTTTTTGCAGTTCATTTTGTGCTTTATTAGAAGTAAAAATAAGTGAGAAATATTATATTGACTAGCATATAAATGCTGGAACAATATTTTTTGGAGACTTTAATATTTAATGTGTGTACAATTTCTTTGCTTTTGGGGGGTATTGCAATAAGATTTGAGCTGTACAAGGTTGAATAAATAACTTGACTCTTACCCATTATAGATACAAATTTATCTAGGCACTTCATGTTTTTTAATAATATTGTACAGTTAGAATCGTTTTAGTTTCAGTATTATTGTTTATCGTCTATACTTCAGCAATATATTGTACTTCAAAATTTGTTATTGTGACAGGCCGAGTGAAAAGTAGGCTACAGCTCAAGCTCGTTTTCAAGTGAGACTTCAAATCGTAACTTACAGATATTTTTATGAATGAAAACTTTCTCATCATTCAGTTCCTAGCTTCCTTGAGTGCTAAAATTATTTCTATTGTTAGATAATATATTTTTGCTATTGTAAATAACCCTGGTCTGTTACTTCTTCTTCAAGCTTAAATACTACTAGTACTACTAACTACCTTAAAGCCTTCCAATGCTACCACTGCCATCTGCTTGGATTATCAGTAGGCTATTTACTACTACTGTTGCTAAATGCTGCTACTTGTATTAACTGCTCTAAAGTCATTCCAACCTACATTCTCATTTGCAAGTACACCAAAATACAGAATTGGGTCTAAACTTGGAACTAAACCTGGACCAGACCAGGACTAGATAGGGAATTATAGGTCCTTGGAGACAGAAAAAACATGTCTGTATCTGGGTTCTAACTACACCCTAACCAGGAGAAGTTAATCTGACTGATCTGCAACTTTCTGGTGGAGAGTCCGCTACCTACTTGTCTCCATGGAGATATTATTGCTTTACCTGGAATGTTCCATGGTATGACATTAAACATATCCATCTAGGATTTATTCATTACGGGTGTTTCTATTGCTAAAAAAAAAACTTAATTCCTTCTGTGAATTGGGGTGACTCTCCACAGATCTGACTTGTAATGTACTGTAGTGCTGTAACCTGCTTACCTCTCTTGTGATAGATAGGTTTAATCTATAATGTGGAACATTAGACAAAGCATTTCTATGACATTTCTATTGAGATAAGCAGGTGATGGACCCTCCACCATAAGTGTTACACAATGCACCTTTAATCTTTCCACTGTGCCCTATTTGTGAAATTAAATGTGATCTGTTCCATATTAAGCCATGTATTAACAATAGGACAAAGTTGAGTTCATAAACATACACATTATAAAATGACAATTATTCTTCAGACCAGGACAGGCAGAGCAGATGTTTCCATGTTGTGAAGTTTAATCCGCTGATGCTGTTGGCTTCTTGCTTCAGGTTTCAGGTCTTTGTGAGTGAAGCATTGAAGGAACACTCCCTCATGTATTAAACATCAACGCAGTTATATAAACAGCAAACACAAGTCAAAGGCAAAGTTAAACTCAAGACATAGTTGTTTGTATATTTATAGACAGTTGTGTAGAGACATTACTAGAGTTTCCCATAGACTGTATATATAAATGCAGATACCTAACCCACTAGCCACTGCTTTTCACATAGGAAGTGAGCATGGGTTGTTTCTGGCTCCATTAACTCTGTTTCCAATTGACTTTACATAAAAAAATTGTCATCCCTGTCTCTGTAACTGCTGCGGTGAGCTTCGTCAGTTTGGTCTTAAAATTCAAATTTTATCCTGATCCTGGTGTTTTTTTTCACTTGGAGCTTGGCCGCAACTTCCCCATAACTGCTAGCCTTGTGAGCTTCATTTGACTGGAGCCAAATGCTATGGGTGACGTCACACTCACTTAGTCCACTTCTTTATACAGTGTATGAGTTTTACTACATTAATTTTAAGACATTTCTTTTGTTATAATTACTCTGCTATTAGCCTTAACATCAACATGATTCATTCGATGTACTTGAAAACAGCAAAATATAGTTGACAAATTAGCAGTATAATATTCAGGCCAATTATTCCTAATTGCCAATCTTTACCAGCAGAGGGCGTAGGAGATAACTAATTAATATGTTCTGTGGCCATGTGAAAGAGTACAGATAAGAATACCTACACATTATATTCCATGCATATTACAAAACATTGGATAATATTGGAATAAAGATTTTATAAATGGTTTTCAGCTTGCCACATGTGCCACATTTTGAAGACTTCTCCCTTTCCAAAGATATAATATTTTGTTTTTAATTGTTAATTGTTAAAGCAACGGTCCTTATTGATTAATCCTTTTATATTAGTCTGTCTACATCTCCAAACCTCAAAATGCTCTGTTCCACCTTATGATGTCATGAAGTGGTAGTGCTCAAGTTTACAGCTACCTGAGATTATCCAAATGATTCTAGTAAAGGTGTAGGGAGTTTAAAAACACAGTGGAGCACGTCCTGCATTACCACATGGCATCACAAGGTAGAACAGTGTGCTCTATTGTGAAATTGATTGAAAAACTCCCAGATATGAACCTAAACATGCAGAGCTTGTGTGTTAAACATGCCTGATTGAAATGAAACACAACTCCAAGTATGGTTTTGGTAACATTATAGAAAACTGTAATCTGGGCCCTTTAACTGTCCATTGCCAAAATTTATAGACTCTCAAAGTAAACTCTCATAATAATATATGTAATGTACTTCCCTATAACTTCTTTCTTTACTTTACTCGTTCACTCATTTATAACTTGGCCCTAACTCACTCCACTCCTGCAGCAGATTATAGTGCTGTAGTCAATAAACATGATGACACAGTTGAGGTGTTAAATGTTAACAGTGAGACTACGCCTGTCCTAGGTCTAAAGGTCCTGCCTGCTCCTTGGAGTGACTCCACCTGAGAGAGAGAGGCACGACAGCTGCCCCTCCAGCTCCTCCATCTCCCCAGCTGCTCCAGCTCCTCCAGAGATCAGGGAACGGGCCCAACTTCACCCCTGCACCTCATCCACAAGGACGACGGAATCAAAACAGGATTCTTCACTGGGATAGCAACATATTGGCTGCAGATAAGGTACATTTGAGCAACTAATAGTAGTAATAATAGCAGTAGTTGTAGTTGGCGTATCAGTGACACTAATTACTTGAGTTGACTACATTTAAAACTACTGCTACTACCATAAATTCATAAAAAATCAGCAAATTCTATTGCACTAATGCTACTACTACCCATTCTTAAAAGTGCACTATTCAGCTTTTCTTGTGTATGCACCACATTGTTTCCATGGATGAGAAATGTTCCACAGTATGGCATTAAACATATCTATCTTGCATTTATTCATTCAACTGCAGTTGTTTTTGCCTCTCCAGAGATCTGACCTTGTGGCCTTACCAATAAGGCAATATTATTTTACAATCCTAAAGGGAGGTGGCTCTTTGAAATCTCACCTGAGTGCACAGTGCAGACATTTAAAACCTTAATGGAAATTATGTGAGAAGAAAACATCATAATGAGAAAAAACACTAACCACAAGTTTTAAAGGAATCCTAGACCTACCATTGTGGAAAAAAGATGTTACTAATTCAATACTTTTATACTAAGGTCCCAAGTTCATTCTACTTGTTTGTGTAGTAGTAGTGGTAGTAATAATAGTAGTAGTAGTACTGTTGTAGTATTTTTCGTTTTTCACCCATTCATTATTTTGCTTTTGTAAACAGATTAATTGCTGTGTGATTGGAATAGAAATTAAATAAGTGTCCTGCTAAAAAATACAACAGTGGTAGCCTGATTGAATAATTTTTCACTCAGTGTCTTTCTCTCCTTGCATAATGAAATTTATTTTAAAAAATAATATGAAGTATGCATTGTTTTAGGTGCTTTGGGTAACCTTTTTGGTGGAGGGTCCATCAAATGCTTTTCTCCATGGATTACTTTGTCAAGAATTTTCCACAGTATGGTATTAAATCTTTCTATCTTCATGGAACGAGAGAGAGACCAAACCAGACAAAGTGACAGGCCAGATTTGTGGAGAAGCAACCCCACTCAGTCAGAGGTTTCTTGGTGTTTTTGAGCTATAAAACCACCTGTAAAGTAAAGCTGTTGTAGAAAGCCAGAAACAAGCAAGTTCCATAGTGCACCTTTAATATTTGCATTTATTTATACATTTTTGTTATTTTGTTTTACAGGCCACAATGGACAGCCACATCACTCAAATTTCCCGTGAGGACCTTGAAGACCTCAGAGATGCTTTCAATAAAATCGGTCAGTTTGCACTCTCCTCTGACACCTGCACGCACTGGACAAAGTTTTACAAGCACCTATAAACCACACACCTTACATAAGTGTTTTGCATTGCTCTAAGTGAGATTAGGTCCATGATGTGGACAGCATTTAAAGGTTTAACTAAGCCAATCAGATTACACATATAAATCGTATTATAAAATTGGCATAGGTATAATGCAACCTTTATTATAAATAGGCAGTGGTGGAATAAAACACTGAAGTAAAACACTGTGCTAAAGTATTAATTTTAGGTATCTGTACTTTAATTAAAAATATTTTAAGGTGAATACTTTTTTTATTTTTACTTCACTACATTTGAGACCAGGCATCTGTACTTTCTACTCCACTATATTTTTGAACTGGACTGAAAAGTAAAAGTGCTTTTCATTATAGTTTGAGAAATGCTGAAAAGGCTGAGGGGTTTATTTTTAACACATTTGTACTTTTAGCAAACAAACATAAACAAATAAAAACAGGTAGGGAAAAAAACATTGAGTCAGTTGTTTCTACTGAACAACTTTCAGTACAAAAATCACACAATCATTACATTTGAAGCTTAATTATCTCAAACTTTGTGCAAATTACTTTTTACTTTTTCTATGCATTTTAAACTGGCACTTTTACTTGTACTTAATTTTCTTTTTATGTGATACTTTTACTTTTATTTGCTCTAGTATCTGTAGTTTTACTTGCTGAATGTAAGACAAATAAAAGATCTTGCTGGTGCATAGTAATGTCAATCTTATCTAAAATATCTTAATTACATGAAAAGGTTGTAAAATTGCATGTGATTTAAGCTGTAATAAAACCATTCAGTATTCAAAGTTGGAGATATACAAGTAGTAATAACAGCAGCAGTAGCAGTAGTAGTGGTTTACTCACTTAGTTACCTTGCTCTACAAACCCAAGACCAAACCATCTTGAAGATGCCAGATCATGTATCAGCTTCACAAGAATTGGCTGAGACTGAGACTTAGACTTCATTGAACCACAAGGCAAATTATTTGGACACAGTAGCTCACACATCACAATATAATATAAAGGCAAAGAGCAAAAATATAAATGGTAATAATACTGTATATTATAATTTGTGGAGGACAGGGCCCTGTGTAACACTATATGCATTGTTTTTAGGGATTGTTTTTTTTTTTTGCACAATCATGTTATTTGCACTGTCTATTATTATTACCACTTAAAGGTCCTGCATTACGGTGTTTTCTAATCTATGTTATAATTTTGTTTCCTCATGAAAAACATACCTGAAGTTGTGTTTTGTTTTATTCACACATGTTTAACTCTTCTCTCAAACCGAAAACACCACTTTGGGATGTCATGTGGTAATACAGGAAGTGCTTCAGTGTGAAGTCCTTATACCTTCACTACAATCATTTGGGTGATTTCAGACTTGGAATTATCAATATCTTCTGAACAAAACATAAAAGACAGGTATTGGCTTGAAAAGTACCGCTACATGACATCACAAAGTGGAACAGAGCATTTTGAGCTTTGGAAATGTAGACAGAATAATAATCACGGGTTACTCAAACATGTATGAATGAAACAATGCATAATTCCAGGTATGTTTTTGATGAGATAACAACATTCTAACATGACTTAAAGATCATTACAGTTAATTTTGTGTAATATGGTACCCTATAGGACATCTTTTGCAAGACCTTATCCTTTTCTTAACCTTTTTACCCACTTTGCTGCTCCTGCAAGAGTCAAGATTACTAACCTGGAATTTTATCTTAATATTGGTTTCTTTGTTATTTCCATTTCCTATATTTTATTTATATTTATGTTGTCATATAGAGTATGGCTACAAAACTGATAGAACAAGATAATCAGATTTTTATGTGAACACCATTATGCAAATGTATTTTATATATTTTACACAGACATCGATAACAGTGGGTACGTGAGTGACTTTGAGCTGCAGGAGCTGTTCCGAGAGGCCAGTTTCTCAATCCCTGGATACAAAGTAAGAGAGATCATGGAAACCTTCATCGCAGGAGACACCAACAAGGACGAGAAGATCAGCTTTGAGGAGTTTGTCTCTGTGAGTTTAGGAATATTTAGTCAAAGAATTCAAATTGTTACCACATTCTAATTGTTACTAGTTAACATTAGTACTCAGTACTCATTTGAATAGGTATAAACAAATACATTCAAATAACAACTGGACATTTTCCAGAATTCCGATGGTCTGGATTTATATCAAAAATTGTTTATCCTCCTCTTTCAGAATGATACAAATTTTGCACCATTGTCATAGATATTAACAATTCAAAACAAAATCTTTTTAAAGTACTCAAAATATCACCTATTCATAGATTTCAGCTTCCTGTTGTATGTTCCTGTATGTTATATGTTGAGGACTTTTTTCCAATTCAAAATATATAATGTTTTATTTTAAATTGCTATAGTAACAGCCCTAATTTTTCACCATTCCAAAACAAGTCCATGGGTAAACCGGAAGATGAAACCTGCATATACATTTAACTCTGATCTTGGCTCTAAATGGGTGTTTTTTTCATGAATCAAACTAAAGTGCTTTCTTGTCCCCTCCTCCTCCTCTTCCTCCTCTTCCACCTCTTCCACCTCTTCCTCCTTCTCCTCCCCTCCTTCTTCTCTTCCTCCTCCTCCTTCTATTCATCCTCTTTCTCATCCTCTTCCTCCTCTTCCTCAGATCTACCAGGAGCTGAAGAGCAAACAGATCAGTGAGACCTTCAGAAAGACCATCTCCAGGAGGGACGGAATCCGCTCGTTTGGGGGTCTGTCTGGGAACTCCTGTGAGGGCACACAGCACTCGTACTCAGGTAAAAACATAAATGTAAAAACAAAAAAAAAGAAAAATCTAAAAACATTATGACATTATAACATTATGACCATCAGCCCTAAATGCTACTATGAGAACCAGGGGCAGTCCTAGACAAGGGTCGATGGGGCAGCTCACGAGGCTAGCAGTTATAGGAGCAAATTTGGAGCCAGTTTCATATTAGGAAAAGGAATTTATTTATGGACAAAATAGCGAAATAAAAAGGATCGTGTAGAGCGGGTTAATACATACATTTTAAGACCAAAATGATGAGGCTCACTCCAGCAGTTACAGAGAGAGGGGCAACAATTTTTCAATGTTAAGTCAACTGGAACCAGAGTCGATGGAGCCTGAAGCATCTCCATGCTCACTTCCCATTTGGGACACTGTGGGTGGCAGGTTACCTATGTCCATTTATATATATACAGTCAAAAATAATCTGGAACAAGCTAAAGCTGAAGACATATTAAAACCTAAAAATTCCCTTTTTTTTAACTTAAAATCTTTGTCTTTACTCTTATTACCACTACTTTTGCTACTACTTTAGCCTCTCAACTAAATATACTTTCACTTTTTATGGATACTGATAAATGCAGACAAGGATCATCTCACAAGAGAATGAGATATGCCAATCAATTATTGATAATTGATTTTATTATAAGTAAGATCATAATTTGGATTTAATCATGGTTCATATAACTTTATATCGCCATTAAGAGTATAAAAGTGCACCGTGGAACTTTTTCTGGTGGAGAATCCTCTACTTGCTTGTCTCCATGGAGACAACCTTTGCCTTGCCTTGTCACTGCTTTGCCTTGAAAATTCCACATTATGACATTATTGCACTTATTTACTAATTTCTGCATTTATCATTAACTTGTCATTATGGGTGTTTTAATTGCTAAAAAATCCCTACATGCATGCTTACAGTGAGTGGTGTCTCCTCTCCCCAGATCTGACCTGTAACTTTGTCTGGTAGTGTCACCCTTCAGATAGATAACTAAATTGCCATACTGTTCACCATTCTAATCAAAGCAATGCCATCTCCATGATCACAAGCAAGTGGAAAACTCCCCACACCAGAAAAGTTACATACTGCACCTTCAATTAATCAGATTCTTTTGAAAGTCACACTTTAAGTAACCCTAATCATTTTTCTAATCAGAACCATTTTCCTAGTCTAAATTATAACCCTGTTTGACATCATCGCTTTAAATGATCAATCAGAGTAGACACTTCCTCCAGAGTGTACTGTCTAGCATTAACCTTGACGTATGGGTCTCTACAAGAATATTAAAGTCTACCATAACTTTTCAGAGGAGGAGAAGGTCGCGTTTGTGAATTGGATCAATAAAGCTCTAGCCAAAGACCCAGACTGTGAGCACCTTCTGCCCATGAACCCAGACAATGAGAGCCTGTTTGCCTCTGTACGGGACGGCATCCTCCTCTGGTAACTACTGTTTATTCTGTGTTTAAAGGGCCCATATTACACTATTTTCTGATCTCTGTTATAACATCATCCTCATCACAAATATACCTGGCGTCTAGTTTTGTTTCATTCACACATTTGAACACACAAACCCTGCATATTTAGGCTGAGTTCTTTCAAACAGCAAACATTCCTTGTGATGTCTTGTAATAATACGGAAACTGCTCCACTGTGCTTTTAAACTCCACACACCTTCACTAGAATCATTTGGATAATTCCAACCTTGGAATTGCTGATCTCTACTGGTCTAAAGAAAACTACCTCTGAATGACATTGTAAGGTGGAACAAAGCATTTTGACCTCTTGAGATGTAGACAGACTAATAATAAACTCAAACGTGTGAATGACACAAAACACAACTCCAGGTATGTTTTTGATGTCGTAATAGCATTACAACATGGCTTTAAACTCACAGGACCTTTAATATGGTCAATATTTTATATATAGGGGATTTCATATTTTTTTTAAATGATTAGTTGTTTGTCTATCTGTCTAACATGAATCATTCTTTCTTGTAGCAAAATGATAAACTTTTCCCAGCCTGACACCATTGACGAAAGAGTCATCAACACAAAGAAACTGACCACTTTCAAAATGACGGTGAGTAAACTTCAAAATTAAGCACATGTTTCTACATTGTTTTTGTGCCTTTGAGCGAAATGCATCACTTCACTGACAATTCTATTTATATAATACAATATGAATATAAAGTTGCAATGGGAAGGACACACAGGCTCAAAAACTGCTAAATTACTGCACACAACCTCACATTATATTGCTGTGAATAGGCCTAATGCTGTAACCAATCTCCTTAATCTAGGAATGTTTTACAGTGTATTTTATATCTAAATGTTATGCTTCATTTTATTATTTGAAGCATTTCATAACAAGGAAGTAATTTTGTTTTTCAAGTACTTACACAGGCAAGCACCATTTTTAAGGTTCCAAAAAATAGGTTAAATAGATTTCTTTTTTTTAATATTCTGTAAATTTTTAAAAATACAAAATTCAACTTCAGTATATATCATAATAAACAGAACAGAACTTGAACAAAAATGAGGAGGCATAATGTACATATTTTTACATAATTCAGAACTATAAATTCCTCCAACATTATGTGACAGAAACAGTGGTGAAATGTAACTAATTTAAATACTATATTGAAAAAAAAAAAAAAAAGAAAAGAAAAAGTTCAGTTCACATAGATCCTGGTTGATAAAGTCACTTTACACAATTCTTTATCAAGATAACATCCATTCAAAAAATATGTGAAATACTTTTATGGTACATGCTCCTGCATCTGTATTGTATGTGACCTGCAGTTATACTGAAAGTTGTGTTTTTTCTACCACTGGGCAAATCTCTCACTCAATATCTGCTATAGAGAACGTATTGGATCACTGCTCTAATTCAGGGTCATTTGGGGTCAAACCTATTGATTTAGTGGCTCACTGTAAAGTGTGGGCTTGCTGCTGTGTTGACCTGATCATTTCTATGTCTGTCTCTAACTGGTCAGAGGTGGTACAAATACAAGTGAATATTGAAATCTGTATCATAATGGATATTAAAAAAAAAAAAGTAACAATTGTTTGAACAGACGTTATGACTTAGGGTTTTAAATTGTTGAAATTAGACAAATTAGGCCAAAATAGGCATTGGAAATTTGGCTAAAATGTACTAATTAAATCTGAAGGCAAGGTGCAAATGTGTAATTCTAATTATTTCAGTGACATTGTCAGTTTAAAGGTTTTGTCACTTACTTAGATTGTGAAAAGTAAAAGTACCAAAAGTTTTATTCAAGAGATTGTTGTTGTTCTGATGTCCTGATGTAGACTTGGTTTCTTGCTGTTTTAGTCATGGTTTTACCCATAGACTGTATATATAAATTAACATACCTAACCAGCTAGCGGCTGCTTTCCAAATAGGAAGTGAGGTTCAAGGTTCAAGGTTACTTTATTGATACTAACAGGTAAATTTTCTTTGGCAGTGAGTCAGGTCAATAATTCATTCCAGCTCCATCAACTCTGGCTCCAATTAACTTTGTATTGAAACTTTCTGTAACTCCTGCAGTGAGACTCGTCATTTTCGTCTAAAACTGTTTGTATTAACCCACTCTCTTCATAATCTTGGTGTTTGTATTTTAATATTTTGTCTGTAAATCATTTCCTATTCCTAACATGGCCCCTATAACTGCCAGCCTCTTTGAGTTTCATTTGACTGGAGCTGAATGCTATGGGTAACGTCACACCCCTTAGCTCACTAGTCTAAGTTTTGGCCCTTGTCTAGTCCAGGTTCCAGGTTTAGTCCCCATTTAGCACCAGTTCTGAATGGCGTGAGTCATTTGATTCACATAATAATAATTACCTCATCCCTGTCCCTCTGTGGTGTGTTTGTAGGAGAACTTGGTGCTGGCCCTGAATTCTGCATCCGCGATCGGTTGCACTGTGGTCAGTGTCGACGCCCATGATCTGATGGCTGGGAAACCCCATCTGGTGCTGGGCATGCTCTGGCAGATCATCAAGGTCGGACTTTTCGCTGATATAGAAATCAGCAGGAACGAAGGTCAGTAAATGCAACAGAGGCTGTAATCTTCAACTTTTATACAACTTTTATGCTCATATTAATGGTTTATTATTGGAAATTTAAACAATTATCATGCACGTGTGGTTTGTTGCTCTTATTAAAGATACCCCGTATACCTTTAGCCTTCACTCTGTTGGTTTCTCAGTCTCAGTATATGGAAAGGCCATGTTTCATTTGAGCCTCAAGAATTCACTCACAGAGCTCCAGCGTCTGCACTAGCACTGTTTCATGATCGACTGCAGATGCTGGGCTTTTGAGCATTCATATTAAGGAGAGTCATTTTAAACTAGATGTGGACTCATTCTGCTTTCTGATTGGATAATTAAGTAATTTTTCTGATTAGGAAATCTGAAAAGAAAATGAGTAATGATCACTGTCTATGGTTTTTAAGAAAATAATACATTTAAGTTTTATAGTCAACAAATGTATCCGTAGTGAATATTTCCTCTACATCTAATATAAATTCTTCTTATTAATCTAAAAGTCATTGGTGCTTTAACCTCATTTGTTTTCTGGGTGCAGGTCTGGTCTGTCTGCTGATGGATGGAGAGCAGTTGGACCACCTCCTGTCCTTGTCCCCAGAGGAGCTGCTTCTGAGATGGGTCAACTACCACCTACGCAACGCTGGCACCCAGACCATCAGCAACTTTAGCGAGGACATCAAGGTACAAAATACTAAATATTAAACTGATGATGCCAGACAAGATCTCCACTATTTCTCCAAAGATCATGAGCATTTATTGTGTTCGTTATTTGACAAGGGCATTTTATTTGTTTTTTTCTTAATGGTTTCCCTAAAAGAATAATGATTACTAAACAGTGTGATTAAAAAGCTTTGAATAAAAAAAATTATAATAATTGGAGTTAAAACAGAAACTGACCTATTGTTCTAAGGCATTGACCAACTAATATACTTGCAGATTCAATGCATGGTATCGTCTAACAAACAAATAAATATAATTTTTTGCCTCATGGCCCATAGAAGTTCCAATATACTACTACAGTTTCACTGTTTTGTTTCTTGTCCATTTCTGATCTAGGACTCCAGAGCTTACTTCTACCTGATGGACCAGATTTCACCAAAAGGAGATGACTACAGAATTAGCGTCAGGATTGACATGAGCGGCATTAATGTAAGTCACAAATATGTTAGGCCATGTTTATAAGATGTTATAATATTCTTGAGTGTCTTTATTTGTCTTATTGAGCTTATCCATGTAAAACAAAAACAGCCACAAGTCCAACAGCTTTTTTGAAGTAAGTTTTATTTACAGCTTTACAGTTTGTGAAGGCTTTCTGTTTCAATTATTTCATTTAAAGTTAGTGCCATTATTTAACACCAGTACCATGTACATGAACCCAACCCACTGTTTTAAAGAATACTTTGATATTCATTGTCTGAATATTGTTTGATAAAAGCTCACTGTGTAACTTTTCTGGTAATGCCATACAGTGGAACATCCCAAAACAATAACATCTCCATAAGACAAGCTGAAGGCAGACCCTCCATCAAAAAAGTTGCACCTTGCATCTTTAAATATTGTTACCATTCCACCCTGTGTTTCAGGAGCATGACTTGAACCGTCGTGCAGAGCTGATGCTGCAGCAGGCCGCACGTCTGGACTGTCGCCAGTTTGTTTCTCCTCGGGACGTGACTTCAGGAAACAGTAAACTCAACATGGCCTTTGTCGCCAACCTCTTCAACAACCACCCTGCCCTGGAGAGAGGGGGCATGAATGGGCTGGATATGGGCCGAATCGAGGGTAAGAGAATACAGCTGTAATGCGTAATCAGAATAATTGTGATAATAAGTAGTAAACTATTAAAATAATTGCAATAGTATTTTGATTGTAATGGTTAAAGTTCCTATACTGCACAAAAATAATTCTTATGAGCTTTAATCCATATTATAATATTGTTACCTCCTCAAAAACATACCCATAGTTGTGTTTTGTTTCATGCACACATGAGTAATCATTCATTATTAGTCTGTCTACATCTCCAAAGCTCAAAATGCTCTGTTCCACCTTGTGATATCATGAAGCAGTAGTTCATGTTAACAGCTACCTTTTACCTTTAGTTCAATAGAGATAGGCAATTCAAGCCCTGAAATAATAATAATTATGATGAAGGTTTAAAAACACAGTGGAGCCCTTCTTGTATTACCACATGACCCCACAAGTGTTTTCTGTTTGAGAGAAGAATTCAAATATGCAGGATTTGCGTGTTAAATGTGTGAATGAAACAAAACACGACTCCAGGAATGTACTCCAGGTACACTTACCACATTTCCACCTATTTGTTTAGAAATGTATTGTTCAAAATCTCAATTTGCAGTCAGCTATCTGACTAGCCGACGAATCAAAAAATAATTGCTGACTAGTCGATTACTACTACAAACTTAAGCTGCAGCTGAGTGAGACAAACACAAAGTTCAACCATAAACAGCTGATAGAGCAGAGTCAGCGGTACAGGGCTCTGGAGATAGAGGTCAGGTAATTGGTTCAATGAGGAAATGAGATTGAAGAGATTGTGCCATTGTAGCTGTCATAAACGTGGACAGCCAAACTATTATCACATAGTATTATCAGGTAACACTATATATAGTCTTAAAAAAGCATGACCAACTATAACCCTAATTAAGTAGTCACTGCCTGAAGCCTTAATCATTCTTAATAAACTATTTGTTTATTTAGTCTTTGTTGCTTTATTAAGGCTAATCATGATGTCATGTAGGCCTGTCACAATAACAAATTTTGAAGCATGATATATTGCTACTACAGCGAAATATAGCGATAAACAATAATATAGAAACCACTTTATACCACCTCCAGTAAACCAGTTTTTAAGTATGCAGTATCAAAGACATGGGCTGCAGCCAATAAATATCAGAATGAACTCATAATTAGCGATATAAGTTATTTATTCTACCCTCTACAGCTCAGATCTTACATTATTAAATACAAATGTCAAAAAATCTCTTGCCCAAGGTCATAAGACCCACAGTGGCATTGTTAGAATCCCTTTTCTGTTTCACTTTCAGAAATACTTAAATTGCTATAGATGTTAAATTTGGGTATTTTGGATAAATAAAAAGCTAAAAAAAACACAGTCCTTTGACCATGTTTCTTTATGTTATCTTTTATCTTTTCAGCTGAAACAAGAGAAGAGAAAACCTTCCGTAACTGGATGAACTCTCTGGGCGTTTCTCCAAACGTCAACCACCTGTACTGGTAAGAACTGTGTGAATAATATTCTGACTATATTTTTTATTTTTTATTTATGTTTATTAAGGACATCACAATCACATTAGACAAGCCAGATGCATTGCTTTGAGTCTTTGTCCATATTAAAAAAATAAATAAATAAATAAAAATCTAAACTATGCATAAAAACAGATAAGACAAGACACAAGTTACATGCAGATGAAATATATTCAGTATATTTTCAGTGGATGTATTTTTGAGTGAAAACATACAATAATTTTAATTCACATTTAAATTTGTTGTTATTGGTTTCCCATTTTAAATCATCTGGTAAACAGTTCCACAATCTGGCAGAGAAAAAGGACTGACCAAGAGTTGTCCTGTACATAGGAACCACACAATTACCCCTATAGCACCTCTTGTGTTAGCTCTGTGTGTACATTTTATGATCCTGGTCCAAATTACAGGACCATACAGTGGTGTGTCACAGTTAAGACACTTAAAAAATAATTATTAAAAAAAAAAAAAAACTGGTAAAATATTCAAAGTTGAAAAGGTTATGTTTCTTTAAAATTTTGTAGTGGTTCCAGTGCCTGAGCTTTTTGTCTAGGACCTTAAGGGTCAGTTTGTAAAATTAATAGAGTGATTTCAGTGTGGTTGAGGAGGCCTGCGACCATGAGATGATACTATAAGACAGATGCAAGAAGATCATTGCATTCATGAATAGTACTGAAGTCTGGCACGTAATATCTTTATTTTTATCTTGAAACAAAAGCAATTGAGATGAGTTTTAATCTTCTACTATATAGGCTAAAGCAACTACTTCAGTTAACTGAAGCGATAATAATAATGAATGGGAATGACATAATGTTTTGAATTTGTCTTTTGCAGGGACCTGTGTAATGGTTTGGTGATTCTGCAACTTTTAGAAAAGGTTAAAGTGCATGTAAACTGGAGGAAAGTCAACCAGCCTCCATATCCTGCACTGGGTGGCAACATGAAGAGGGTATGTGGATTAAAAATTTTAATATTGTGTGTTTATTACAAATGTCCAAATATTATGTTCAAATAATTAGATATTACATTTTTAAATAGCTTGAGAATTGTAACTACGCTGTGGAGCTGGGCAGAGATGTGGCACACTTCTCTCTGGTCGGAGTCGGAGGTCAGAACATAAACGAAGGGAGCCCCTTGCACATACTGGCCCTGCTGTGGCAACTCATGAGAAGGTAAAAGAAATATATAATAATTACATTCAACTGTACATTTTGTAGAGCTAGGAAATGGGGCTAGACCACATGGCCCACAATAGAAATAATATTAAAATATCTCTTATCAGTAGTTCATCACTCCCACTTGACTAGACTATATTTGTTTATCTGGGCAAGACACTTCACCTCACATTGCCCACTTGCAGCAGAAAGGGCATCTGACAAAACTGAAAAACCCAAACTGCAGTTTCTTTACAATAAATGTATCTAAATCCAAGGAGACAAGCAGGTGATGCCACAGATGTAGAAGAAGTTTAATGCCAACTGTGGAATATTCCAAGCAATAAAAATTTTGACAATCAGGTAGTGGACAGTGCACCAGAAGTGTTACACTGTGCATCTTGGATAACAGGGCTCAAAATGATAGAAACAGAGATGAAGATGTGGTGACGCTCCTCTAATTAACTAAATGTAATGAACTGTTAGCAGCCTCTGGCCATGTCATTGTCACATTATTATTACATTTCTTCATTGTCCTGAGTAATAAATAGTGAATACATCTCCTCTCTCATCAGATACACGGTGCTGGTGCTGTCTGATCTCGGGGATGGGGAGCGTGTCGGGGACAATATCATCCTGGACTGGGTCAACACCACACTGGGCCCCCAACTTAAAGACTCACAGATCAGCAGCTTCAGGGTCAGAGTCATACAGCCTTTTATGGAAATGAAATAACTGACTAGTTTTGACACACAGAATGATATTACATGCTTTCTATCTAATTGCAATACACACATTTTATTAAGATGAATATAAAATCCCCCCTAAAAATGTTTTCTGTAAAAGTTTTTGATGAAAAAAAGTGTAAACATGCATTTATTTATTTTTTTTAAATGAGTCAACTGTAGCATACACTTGTTTCATTTCAGTGTTAGTAATGATTTCTTGATGTTTCTTTTATAAAAGGGCACTTATTATAGTATTTTTTGGTCTCTATTATAATGTTCTTCCCTCATCACAAACCTGTGTTTTGTTTCATTCACACATGTTCAACAAACAAACCCTGCATATTTAGGCTGAGATCTTCTCTCAAACAAAAAACACCTCGTGATACACCTGCACTAGAATAATTTGGATGATTTCAGCCCTGGAATTGCGTGTCTCTACTGAACAAAAGGTAAAAGGTAGCTGTTAACTTGAAAACTACCACTACATGACATCACAAGGTGGAGCAGAACATTTTTAGCTTTCTAGACAGACTAATAATAAAGGATTACTCAAACATATATGAATGAAACAAAACTTAATTCCAGGTATGTTTTTAGAGAAGATAACAGCATTATAACATGGCCTAAAGCTCATAAGGGTAGGTTTGTGCATGTATTGGACCTTTAAATCAAATATGTTTTTGACAGGACAAAAAGATCAGCACCAGTCTGCCTGTTATTGACCTGATTGATGTCATCGCTCCTGGGACTGTCAAGTGGGACATGGTGCAGAAAAGTGAGAAAGGAAGAAGCTTGACCAAAGAAGACAAACTCAACAATGCCAAGTAAATTCTCAAGTTCCTTAACATTTTCTGAATTTGATTATGAAGATTTTAAATATTGAGATCCACCACGTGTCTCTGTCTTTCATTCCAGGTATGCAGTGTCACTGGCTCGTAAGATTGGAGCTCGGGTCTATGCTCTTCCTGATGATTTAGTGGAGGTGAACCCCAAAATGGTCCTTACAATTTTTGCTTGTCTCATGGGCCATGGCATGAAAAAGACCAGCCGCTGAAGCATGGACCTTACATGGATATTACAACTCCCACAATGCCTCTCCTTGTCCTGCAGCTTTGTGACACACCAACATACATACAATTAACATATATTTTTCCATTACTGTAAATTATTGCATATTTAAATGTACACTAATACAAAAATACAGCTACAAAATAAATATAAAATGTAGACATTCAAACACCATCATTTTATTGTATATTGCAAATCTTATTTTTTCTTTGAAGTATTATAATGTATATTTTAATAAGTGCTTATATTGATGTTGTGCGAATTGCTATGTAATTAATTCAGACTTTGTGTTCTCAGGTATTTTAGTTTTTTATTGATTAAAAATAAACTTCATGGTGTAGGCTGTTGTGTATTTTTTCTGTTTAAAAAGCTCTTGGTAAACTAGTCCAATTAAATATATATATTTACTAGTTATAAATATATAACGTAAGATTGTTATTAAAAAAAACATAATAATAAACTAAAAATTGCTACGCACATATCCAACACTAGAGGCGCTGTTTTATCAGTATGTGTTTTTACCCTTTTGGCTTTCCGTACCAAAACAAAGGCGCACGTCATTTTGGAGCGAAAGTTTTGACAGCATGGGCGAGATGAGCTCCTGTATCAACATGAAAACAATCACAATTCCTTTTCAAATTATGTAGAAAAAATAAACTGTTTAATATTGGAACAGCCTTTTGGTCAACGATGGAGGGTTTGGAGATGTCAGCGATGATTCCTGCGCTCCAGGAACTAGCAAGGTGAGGGAAGCTAAAGTTAACTCGGCTAGCCCAACCTTTGGTCTCGCTGGAAAAAAAATAAAAAAAATACCTTGAAAAGCGTCTGGTTATATATACTGTTGATTAAGTAAATATTGTTGTTTACAGTGCCAGTGCAGCGGAATACGAGCAGGTTGTGCAGAAGCCTCGTCAAATCCTCTGTCAGTTCATTGACAGGATCCTGACTGATGTGGATGTTGGTGAGTCTTTGTTAATTTACCTTTGTCTAATATATTTGTGGAATTACTATGGTGTGTCCTCTGTAAAGGGATTGATTGTTTGCTCTGTGGTATTGACAATCACCCTTGACAGTAATCTGGTTAAATAAATAAATAATAATTAAAGCTGGTTGATTGTAGGTTTCACTTTACTTGTCAATTTTTTTCCCCTTAATGTGTTCTTGCACATACTACTTCACATCAAAATCGGGACTAAACCTGGAAATGAATCAAGAACTAAAGGACTAGATTAGGAGTCTCAGGACTAGATCAGTGTTCACATCAAAAGCACTCAAATCACTCTATAAGTATATTGTTAATCATAAAATTCATTGTAATTTATTTCCCCCATATTCATCACTGTCTTAATTTTATTTATATTGACTGCAGTTTAATATTGTCATATTTTGCCTTTACTTTTATATTATTCTACATTGAACAGTGTAATAAATAGATCATATAGACACATTTCTATGTTGTTTCTTTTCAGTTGCGCTGGGACTAAGTAAAAAGTCCAGTTCGGAGCCAGCCTGTGTCATGCTGCTTCACTTTGTTCAACACATTATCAAATCCTCATCTCTCATGTTTGCCAATCCTGCCTGTCAACCCGCAGACTACCCTGAAGTCACTCAGAGCTGCACTGGTAAGAGCTCTTGTTATATAACGTTTAATATTTACTTATTTAAATTTATTTAATACAGTTTTGTGAAGAGCAAGATTCCGAAAATGAAAATAAAAGTATGTTTTATTTTGCTCACCTTGTGGATCCAAGGATTTCAATAAGTTTAACTTTTCATGCAGTTAATCACTTCAGATAAAAGGTTTATTTATAAGTGCTAGTAGTGTCAGATTGTTTATATTTGCTCATTAATGCATGATTTTCTGACTTTAAAGCATTTCTTTTACGTTTTATTCCATCACAATTGCCTTAGTATTTTGTCTTTTTAAATTTTGGGTTACACCGTATGTACAGTTTTTATAAAAAGGTAAAAAAAAAAAAGAAACTGAAAAAGATGATGTTACACACATTTTCTTGACCTCTTTTTCCTTCTCTCTATTTAGACTTCAGTAAATGGGTGCTGGTGCGAATGCTTCGCGTGGCTGCATCTCCAGACTGTGAGGTCATCCATGACAGGATCTGTGACGTCATGAGTCTTTTATTACACACTTTACGAGTCCGGGCTCCTCTGATTTACAGCCGTCTCACCAAAGAACTAATTTCCCTTCTGCAAAACCTCACCAACATCATCCATGACCATCTCCTAACTCTGGCTGGACAGGGGCACCTTCTGAGAGTCCAGTCTTCCTGCCAGTGGCCAGTTACTATAAATTGCTTAAATATTTATAGTGCTTCTTCTTACCTCACGTCTTCCCCTCTTGTCCTGTCAAATCCGTCATCTTTGGAATCACTCACAGTAGTCACAATTAAAATCATAACAGATTCATTAAGAGGTGTAGTTTCACCACGTGACCTAAGTATTGCATGGGAAATCTGCTTGCTCTTTGTTATCCAATGGGACGATCCGACTGAAGAAGCCTGCTATGGTGATGCTAAGAGAGCTGGTTGAGATTGGAGATTTTCCTGAGTTACAAAGTCATACTTTCTTCATGCCGTTTTTGGATTTGTTAGAAGTGCACACGGATCTGGTCTCATCTGATATGGAAATAGACGAGCCTTATGATGGAGAGCTGCTGAAATTGACTCGGTGTGTTTTTCAGTCGCCAAGTGTTGCAGACTTTGAGCCCATTTATCTTTCACAGTTGTTTGAGTCTGTTTGTGCCATTGGAGCCACAAAGGAGAAATTAGGGACAGAAGTACAACAAACAATCTGTTATATTTTTAATTTCTTGTTGTCTGATGCTTTGGTTTATGAAAATGCTGCAACTCTGAGGAGGCAAAGGGTCACTGAAGTTTGCAAGGCATTGGCACAAACGGTTGGAAGCAGAAATCAAGCTCAGGTATGTTTGCGTGTATTTATTTAAAGCCACAGTATGTAACATTTTAGCCTAAAATAGTAAAAAGAAATACATGTTTTTTCATTTTGGTTTGGTATTTTACTGAAAAATATGCATCCTTACTCTGATTGGGCTTGCATCTTATTTCATGCTTGTTTCCATGGAAATTTTGTTCCTTTGGCTATAATATTCCACAGTATGGCATAAAACTTATCTGTCTCCTTGGAGAATGAACTCTCTATTTCCATGGAATCAGCCAGACTGTCGCATACTGTACTTTTTATCTTGCTTTTTCACCTACCCTCTAGTCTTCCCCATAGCGCTGTACATTTTGAAACCCCATGTTAATACTACCATTATTCTGTAGCCAGTTTTCAAATATACAGTAAATGTATTTTCAGTGTGCAGAGGGTTTCCTCAAAGCTGCCCTCAAAGCTGAGACAGCTGCTGTGATGCAGGAATCAAAAGAAGAGGAGCCACCTGCTAAAAGATCAAAATCAACCAAATCTGTAGAGGCAAAAACGTAAGTACATGTGCATTAGAAATAAAATGTATTAATAAAGGTGTACTATGTATTTTTTCAGGTGGAGGCTCACTTGCTGGTCTCCATGTGGATATTGCTTTACTTAAATTGTTCATTTCATAGTAACTTGCCCATCAACATGGAGACAAGAAAGTGGTGCAACCAGGCCAAATTGCAGGTCAGATCTAGGGAGAGGTGACCCTTTCCTGTAAGAAAGCATAGTTTTCTAAATATTTTTCAGCAATATAAAAACTTGTTACTGAATAAATGCTAGATAAATACGTTTTAATGCCAAATGATGGAATATTACAGATAAATCAATGACTCCTCCATGGGACAAGCAACCAGAAAAGTTATGAAATGTACCTGTAATATAATATTATTTTGGCAACATAATAATTCATACTGTTTATTTCTATACAGTGAGATGGACATGCGGGTTCACAGTGAAGTTTGGGCTGCAATCAATGGTCGTTTGGAGGAGCTGTTAAACTTTGTGAACTCAAAATCTCCCGGAGCTGAAAACCCAGAAATCCTCTCTGCTGTTCAGGGCCTGGCTCTCATCCTCCATTTAGCTACTCTTTGTTCCTCACCTATGAGGTACATTTAAATATATTTATCACACCTGTCACAATAATTACTATATTGACTTCAACGTTCAATATTTATTATACCTTTTCTTTGCACTAGTGGGGAAAAAAAAAAAAAAAAAAAAAAAAAAAAATATATATATATATATATATATATATATATATATATATATATATATATATATATTTTTTTTTTATTATTATTTTTTTTTTCTTGAATTAGATCTAAATTACAACATGTGAGTTGTAGATTTTGGAATAATTAACTTCCAAGATACATTATATATATATACTAGAAATAACTTAAATGTTGCATTGTGCTATGTATTTATTGGTGGACATGTTTCTTTACTATTATTCACTTTACACAGTATGAAGTAGTTTCAGTATTATCTGTAATTACATATATTGCACTTAAGACTGACTGTTTAATTCTTCTATTAATCTTTCTCTCTCTCTAGCTCTGTATCTCTGCTCCTCTGGCTCTCCACTGAAACTCTTGGCAGAGCTCTGAACACTTGTAAGTCAGTTTTGGAGGGAGGTGGAAAACCTGTGGAAAACAAAAGCTACCATCAGTCTGTGCTTCAGTCCACTATTGGTATCCTGGACTCTATCATCTTTCTAACAAGTAAGTTAATTGAGAACTAGATTCAATCATGTCTAACTGGAGAAGAAATTTTAAAAAAATGTCATTGATTACAAGTCTATATTGTTTATGTTTAGGAAATTAATGTTAAGATATTTCTTTTGAAAATTTAATTGTAATCATGATAAGTTTTTTGGCACATTGCCCAGCTCTGTGTTTATGGTTCATAGTTTAGTTTAGTTTATTGATTTATTTTAACAGATAAACCATGCATTCACCTATTCTTGCATTTAAAAACATCACCATCAACCCTCTTGTTTATTTAAAATGCTATCTGCTACAACTGAGCTAAAAATACATCCTAAATGCATCCGAATACATTTCGTATTTTGCCTCTCTACTCATAGTGAACAGCCACAGTGAAGATGGGCTCCAGCGCAGAGTCTGTGCCCTCTTGTCTCTGCCCTGGGTGATCGAGCTCAAGTCTGTCTCAGCCTTCAGAACTTCAGCTTTCCCCTCCTGGGTCTCTGGATTAGCACAAAGACTAACCTTTTGTTACAGTAAGTTCTTCTAACTGACCAAAACATTATCAAAGTTATCTAGTATTTTGTGAAGTTTCAGCTTAGACTGTAATTATTGAGATTGTTATAGAAATTCTACTTAAGGCCTATTTTAATCTTTACAGGGTGTATATTAATGCAAAATCACTTTAAATGAGCTTTTAACTGGTGTTTCCTGATTATTTGTTTGCTCATAGTTAATTTTGGTTGATTCATGCTTCAGTCCTGAATTGTTCTGCATTCAAAGCTGGGGTGCTCGGTAAATTCTTGTTTTCACCTACCCCCTATCCCTGCCCATATCCATTTGTGTAATCTGGAATATGACTCTGGGTCGTTTTCTAGTGCACCTCATAATGCAAAAAGTAAAAATAGTTCTAGCCATTTCTTCTTTCAAATGTGTGTACTATGAGGGAAAATGTAACACGGCTCAACTGTCTGTTCTTACACATTTTTCTTTGTTTTATTTTAGCCCCTGAAGTTCAGATTGACTGCCTTTCTCTGCTGGCCCTTCTCCGTCAGGGCGTGTGTGACCAGTGGAGGGCACTGGTGTTTTCAAACTCTCTGAAAAGTCCAGAGGATTCAGTGAGAGCTGCAGCTGTCAGGGCTTTTCCATTGTTACTACATCACCTGGGAAGAACTCATTACAGTCTCATCAATTCTACTCTACTGTACGTAACTATACACACACATACACATATAAATATTTTTTTACATTATGACTATCTACCAAATGTGCAGTGTATATTTTACCGTGTTATCAGAACCATCCTTAATTTTCTTTTTGTTCTTATTGTGATTATTGTGAATAGAAGCTTAACAATTTAACAGTTATTCACAATAATTGACAGTTCATGACCAAACAACAGTGAAATGCTTAATTTTATTTCATTTTTATTATCAAATACATACACAATTTTTCTATTATGACCAGCTTTATGAAGTAAAGCTTTCTGTATGCCAAAGTTATTCTGATGTGCCATAGACAATAGTACTGAATAATTACTATACTATTGATACTATTATATACTATTACTAATATCGATTACCCTATTAATCATGATGTCCCTGTCCGATTTTGTATTGTGTCATTTATAACCGTATTTGTGTTTGTATCATTTTATAACTGTATCTTTATTCGTTTTCTAGTCTTCGGTTGGAGGACAGTTCAGTTCAAGTGAAGCAGGAGCTCTCCAGGATTGTTGGTCATTTGAGCTGTATTCAGTCTGAAATGTCTGAACTGAGCGACACACATATGGTGTCTTTCTGTCCTTCTCTCTCTTGCCATCGACTCTGCCTCTCGACCAAACATAAAGAAAACACCACAGCTCTTCTGAAGGCCTCTTTTGTCCTACCTTTTCTTCCTGTCCTCAATCAACAAGCTCCAAGCAGCATCAAACTAGGTAAAAGTTATTTATTTTAAAGTATTTTCTACTTGGTCAGTCTTCATACACAACAAAAAAGATCATTACCAGTTTTAATGAACCTAAATTTTGGTGAAAATTAAGATTAAAATTTGGTAAATCCAGCAGCTTTGTATAACTTGTTTGTTCATTCAAAAATATAAATAAATTTGAATACCAAATAAGAAAACCACATCTACCTAGTTTGAAATGCTGTTTACCACAAGTCTAATTTTTTGTCTCTACTGAGACAAAAGCCACTGGTCTATGTGTATATTATGGGCATTTAGTAAAAAAAAAAGGCAATATAAAGTTTTGTTTTTCTTTAATTTAGTGTCACTTTTAGTTATTTTTTCTACCTTGTTAAGATCTAGTACTTCCACCACAGTTAACCCCAATTTAGACCTGGTTCAGACCTATTATCTTTCTTTTTTAGGTGATAATAATTTCTGATAATTACTGTAAAAAGTGTGTGGAAAATTAGTAGAAATGATTTATTTTGTATATTTTTTATGTTGTTTAGCCTTTCTGGAAGCTCTCCCTCACCTGTGTCAGCATGTGAGCCTGTCCAGTGGAGACAGCGACTCGAGGGCAATATCGTGCGCTCTGATTGGTCTGATTGAAGACTCCGACACTACGGTCAGAGCAGGTTTCGGCCAGTCAGTGCGCTTCCTGCTGACGGAGAATGGACAAGCCTCTGAGCAGAACTCTCTTAGTGATGTAAGTTGTGAAGTACTGTATAAGAATGCAAGTCAGTAACTATAATGAATACTGATTATTACACTTATATACTTATACATTTATTTCAAAACATATTTTAGAAAAACTTTTTAACCAGAAATGTCATGACATTAATATGATATAACATTTCCAATGGTAAGTATGGCATTGAACTTGATCTGTTTTGGATTTATTCACTTACACTTCAATCTAATATTGTTACTGTTAGTAGGCTCACCTCTACTAACTTGGCCGGGTGCTAAGTTAGCGATCTGCTTATATTCATATTTCTTTAAAAATTATGTCTGTCCAGCTTTTAGTGGCTCGACTAAAGGAAGGTTTCAACAACGCCAAGTTAAAACGAGACGACGATCTGCGCAACACTCTCATCCTCACAACTGGAGAAATTGGACGGTACATTGTTCTATATCTTTCTGTTATACTATTTTAGACAGAGAGCTAGAGATACTTCCCGATCCCGAGGGAAATGTTCAAGTTTTGCTGCAGAAACATTTACACTGCATTTCTCAGTTGCTTTTGTATCTTAGTCAAAGGACTCAGTGCAGTTTAAAAGGAGGACTGGTCAGATAGGGTCAGCAGATCTGTGTCAGGGGAGTTTGAGGAGAGGAAGAACCAAAAGTGTCCATCCTCTGTGTCCTGCAGCATCACAGCAGTATTCATTAGGAGTCAGGTGAACACAACAGGAGAGGCCTTGTTCTTACTCTGCTCTGATGTTTCAATTGGTGATGAAATTTCCTCTGGAAGGTCTTCTGCCACATTTTCTGTCAGATATGGTTGTGACGTAGGTTGATTGTGAGCGGGTTTGGGTTTAGTGAGTAACCGGCCTGTTTGTTACAATGGTGTAAAAAAGCATATAGCATCTCAAATGTCCATAGCTAGTTCTGTAGCTAGTCTCTTCTCAAAGGCTATTAAAAAAACAATATCTGCTGAATACCAATGGCTGAATACCTGCAGAATCATTGTGAAGTATAATGTCTAATCTTTTTCTCCATCAGAGCATCCCAGGGCAGTTTGGTGTCATTCTCTCTGCTGCGTTTGCTTCACTGTCTCTTGTCTAAGTCCTCTCCTGTGTCTGTGGCGGCGTACACTCAGATTAGAGCTCTGGCCTCTGCAAAAGGACTCAAGCTACAAACACTGTTCAGTCAATTCAAGAACCCCATCTGCCAGGTGAGCTCTGAGAATAACTACTGAACTGAAAGGGCGGTGTAAGAAATAAGATGTACATGATTACTATGATAACATACTCTGCTGTGACTGTGCTGTGTTAGATTTTATGTCTGTTGTTTAGTCTTTTAGTTATTTTATTGATTCTTTGCTTTTTTTTAATGCTTTTTCTTATTCTCTCTTATTCAAGGATAAGATTTATCTTATCCTTATTGCATATGTGAGTATGTGAATATGTTGAATCTTACAATACTCACATTTTCACAATATTCAATAACTCATTTATAAGTGTCTGTATCAAAACTAAACCAATCGTTACTGATGAAGTAATACGATAATTGTGTTTAAAACCAGATTTTATTTATATTTTATGTTACAATGTTATTTTAGTAACATGATTAGCAAGATATATATTTTAATAATTTATCTTATTTTATAAATTGGAACAAAAAACATTGTGATACGTTAGCTATTGAGATAGATTTGAATAGTAAATTGGTTGTTAATGCTGTATTTTAGTTTTTTTACAGGATGAAGTACTGCCTTACTATTGCTGTGACATTTTTTATTTTTTCTGTTTTCTCTGTAGTTCCTGGTTGAGTCTCTACACTCGCGTCATGCCTCGGCGTTACGAAGCACTCCAGATCAAAGCAGTGAATCGGCCAATCAGAGAGAGCTTGCTCTGGACATCCTTGCTCAGATCGCCCACGCCTTTGACTTCCCCGACCTCCACCGCTTCCTCACTGTAAGCACTGCACATGTGACACTAATGCAACATTTATTCATTTTATCTCTGACTAATAAAATTAATAAAATACAGAATTTGCCAATTTTATAGGCAATCAGAAATACAGTATGTAGTATTGATAGGAGAGGATTCGAAGGTAGTCATCTCTTGTAGAGGTGGTCTGGTATGTAGCAATAACAGCATGAATTCTTTATGCAGTAAGAAGTTGGATTAGAGCAATATTTTTTTAACATTCTAAATTTATTGTGTGATAAACATATATTTTTGCCCTACTATAAATTATATACTCTATTTGAAACAAAATATTGGGAATGTTTAATCTAACAACTTGGGTTATTGTATTTAAACATTTATTATGTAGCTTTTATGACTCATATTTTTATTAATTTTGTTTTCTTTCTTTGTTTCATTTATGTAACAAAAAAATTTCCCATTGGAAAGCAAACACAATATACTAGTCATATTTGTAATATTACTTATCTGTCTAAATAAAAAAAGTATTATATTAATTTTTTTTGGTATGTAGCGAACACTTCAGGTCCTGCTTCCTTACCTGGCAGCCAAGGCGAGTTCCACAGGCTCCGCCCTCATTCGGACTTTAGCCAATGAGCTGAAGGCAAACAGGAGAGAGATCCTCATCAATAACTTCAAATACATCTTCAGTCATTTGGTTTGTTCGTGCACCAAAGAGGAGCTAGAGAGAGCCTTTCACTATCTACAGGTATCAAATTATGTGCTGTATAAAAAACACATTGTAAAATAGATAAAATAACCTCAAATTGTACTGTTAACATTTGACAACTGACAGAAAGCAGAAACACAGCTTTAAAATTCTTTACATGTAAGAAAACAATTAGAGATGAGTAACAGAGAAGCAGTATTGTTATAAAGCCTATCTATATTTAAAACAAAAAAATTTAAGTTTGAAATATCTTCTAAGAATATTATTCAAAGTTTCCAAAGCTTGTGGAAAGAAGCTTTTTGCAGGACACAGTGCCTGAAGTCATTGATAAAGAAATAAGAATAGGCTGTTAGCTTTTATTAATTTCATTCAAGGGTTGATGAAACATTGTTTAGATACTTATTGCCAAACAAATTAGTTTCTTCTCTTAGACTTGCTTCAGTATGTAATAAATGTTTATAAAGAGTAGCTTTTTAAACACAATAACTGTCTTCTTTCAGAGTGAAACTGAGATTGAATTGGGATCTCTCCTGCGGCAAGACTTCCAAGGACTTCATAATGAACTTTTGCTTCGTCTGGGAGAGCATTATCAACAGGTCTGAAAGCACAACATTATCCACCTCAATAATACTACAATATGAACTTTTAAGTAATTTATTTTATTTTAAATCTGCTTGATCTTTACTTTTCATAGGTCTTTAATGGTTTGGCAATCCTGGCATCATTTGCATCTAATGACGACCCATATCGAGGTCCTCGTGACATCACAACCCCAGAGAGAATGGTGGGTATTTTTGTACTTTAAAATTTTTTGCATTATATTTGTTGTTATTATTTTGCCTTAATCATAATTATTCCCATTTGTTTGCTAATAGGCTGATTATTTACAACCAAAACTGTTGGGGATTCTTGCCTTCTTCAACATGCAGCTGCTCAGCTCCAGTGCAGGAGAGAAGGATCGCAAAAAGATGGTATGATCTTTTGATACGTTAAATTATTAGATCAATCAATCAATCTTTATTTATAGAGCCCTTTATAACACACAATGTGACCAAAGTGCTTTACAGTAAAATCAGCACAATATAAAAGCATGCAAAACATTAAACGATAACATAAAACAAATTGTCAGTGGTAAATGCCAGGCTGAATAGAGTTTTGATCCTGGATTTAAGCAGGCCAGAGTCTGTGATAGTGCGAATGTCAGGAGGCAGTTTGTGCTAGAATCTGGGGCCAGTGACAGAGATATAACAGATGTTTATTTTTAGGTTATAAGATACTTAAATATCTAAAATAGTAACTAGTTAATAATCAGTTAATTCCTCTGTAACCATAGTCCTGTGTGTTCTTTGTGTTGTGTTCAGGCTCTAACCAGTGTGATGGCTCTGATGAAGCTGATGGGCTCCAAGCACATCAGCTCAGTCCGAGTCAAAATGATGACCACACTGAGGACTGGACTGCGCTACAGAGAGGACTTTCCCCTGCTCTGCTGCCAGTCAGTATACTGTAGATATTCTACATCTAATACATGTAGAAGTGCTGGAGTACAGGTGGCTCATATGTAATAGGTCACTGTAATTTTATTGTACAATAGTTTAGCTAACAGTTAAATATAACCACATTTAAATATGACACCTTTGCAGTATGATAGTTTAACAGCAATTTTTAACATAGAATTCTCCTGCTTAAATTTTACTCTTTGGCATTTTAAGAATGTCAGGACATCATAGTTTAATAAAGGTTACTGGACATTTTTTGGGATGCAGCAGGATAATGGACCTTGCAACTAAATGTTGACTTCATAAAAATTTGCTAAAACTTGTCTTTAAATATATTAGCTAAGGTTTAGTGTCAGAAAAACATTAATGAATATCACTTTGTTTGATTAGATTACAACATTAGATAACTTTGTTTTCAGAGCATATCTTAATGGCAACAACATTTATGATATCATTGATAGGTAATATTTTGCTCATTTCTATATCTGAAAAACAGTCAATAATCTTTATCCTAACTCTTTTGTAGAACGTGGGACTGTTTTGTGAGAAGTGTGGAGCCCACTCACCTTGGCCCCCTCCTCAGTCATGTCATAGTAGCTCTCCTGCCTCTTATACCCATCCAACCTAAAGAAACTGCTGCTATCATACGGTTCCTCATAATCGAAAACAGGTACCAATATTTTGTTAAGCCTTTTCTGTTCATATGATTTTATTACATTATGACATTTTTAATACACTTTATACATTTGATTTTTCACAGAGAGGAGGTCAATGACTACTTGCATGAGATTTACTTCTTACCTGATCACCCCGAGCTCAAAGAAATCCACACTGTTCTGCAGAACTACAAAAAGGTACAAAAAGTTATAAATCATTCTAGGTTTTAACCATTTTTGGCATTGATTTTTGTATTACTTGGCTTCTAGGACAACATTACTATGGGGAGGGGCATGCTTGTTTCGAAGGAGATATTGTTGCTTTCTGCTTTCTGGATTTTTCTACAATATGGCATTAAACATATCTATCTAGCATTTATTCAGTTACAACTGTTTAAATGTTTATAGAATACTTGAAGCGGGGTCTCCTCTTCACAGATTTGACTGTGACCTTCTTGTTACTGTGGAGATAGATAAGGTTAAAGCCATAATGTGGTACATTCCAGGCAAAGCAATAGTAATTCGAGTGGAAACAAGTGGCATGTTGCATAAACTTGACCCTCTACCAGAAAAGTTATATAGAGCACTTTATTAAAATGCAAAATCGTGTGGTATCAGATGTTATTCTATAGCCTTAAAGGTGTATTACATAACATTTCTAGTGGGGGGTCCATCACCAGCTTGTCTCCATGGAAATGTTATTACTTTGTGTAGAATGTTCCGCAGTATTGATTAAACCTATCTATCACAAGGGAGACTACCAGGTTACAGCACTACAGTACATTACAATTCAGATCTATGGAGAGTCGCCTTTATTCACAGAAGGAATTATTATATTTTTGAGCAATAGAAGCACCTGAAATGAATAAATGCTAGATGGACATGTTTAATGTCATACTATGGAACAATTTAGTTAAAGCAAGACCATCTCCATGGAGACAAGCATTTGGCAACCCATCCACCAGAAAAGTTGCACAGAGCACCCTAAATTAAAATATTAATGCAGTTCTCTATATTTTCTATTTTCAACATTACACAATGCAATATAAAGTAGTTTTATGTACAAATTCACTTGTAATTTGTGAATCTGTGTGCAGCTGACAGCGAGTCGGAGTGACCTGGCGGAGGCGCTTCAGCTCTCCATGAGGGCTGTTCAACACGAGAATGTCGATGTGAGGATCCACGCTTTGACCAGCCTCAAGGACATGATGCACAGCAAACAGGTCTGGACATACACTTGATCATTGAATTTAGAAGAAAACTAATTCTTCCAGGAGATACTTGATGCAGGAGAGATGAAATGAATAGATTATTATTTTTTTTTACTTTAAAGCTGAGAATGTAAAGTGTTCACCAGTGCCACTGGTTGGTTGGATTCAGGTTGGATTCCCAATTGAATTGATCTTTTGTAACCATATTTTTGTTCATGAGTAAATCATTTTAATTTTTTTTTCTTTGTGTTTGTAGGAGTGGCTGCTGCGTCATGTCTGTGCTAGTGAAGCGGTGGAGCCGGTTATCTCCAGCCTGGTGGCGGTGCTGCTGAAGGGCTGTCAGGACCCTTCCCCAGAGGCCAGGCTCCTTTGCGGGGAGTGTCTGGGAGAGCTAGGGGCTGTAGACCCTGGAAGACTAGACCTGTCCCAAAACCACAACAATGGAGACCACAACAGCTTTGTGGTAGGCTTCTGAGCGAACAAAAGGGACATTATAGCAACTACTTACAGAAGCTGACAACTCTGGATTAAAGCTTGTAATGGTGATGTACAGTGAATTAAATATAGACATAGGAAGAGACATAGCAATGGATAAATACCAATAATTTCTAGTCAATATATACATTTTGCCTTTGTACTAGATAAAAAAACATCATGCAAGAGACTACATTACTAAGATTATACAATCTTTTATAAAACATAAGGCATAAATAAATGTGTATAAAATAAAGAATAGTAAAGAATAAAGAACTCAATAAATGTCACAGTAAATCCTTTGAAATCTAAATTAATGTGTATTTCAAAGGTATTTACGGATTTCATTATTTTGAGAGAGAGCAAGAGAGAGGGAGAGAGAGATAAGAGGTTTTTTTTTCTGTAAATATAAAAATATTTCCATGTATACTACAGTAAAGATTCTTGCATGCCGTTTGTCTCAGAGTGGAGTGGATGACCCTAACTTTGCCTATGGCCTTCTCACTGAACTAATACGGACATTTTTGGCTTATGCTGATAATGTGAGAGCTCAGGACTCTGCTGCTTATGCCATACAGGTACACACCACCTGCCATACTATTGATATCCTACAATATCTTTAATAATGTATATCTTTAAACAGTATATATTGAATGTTTTTGTACAATAGGAGCTCCTGTCTATCTTTGAGTGTCATGAAGGGCGCACAGACACTCCAGGGCGACGGTTATGGAGGAGGTTTCCAGAACAAATGCAGGAAATACTTGAACCTCATCTCAGCAGCAGGTAGCACTACTTTACATGTATTAAAGTTGTAACAATATCTGTGTCTTTGTCGATTTAAGTGTTTCAACTTTAAATGCCTTGTTTTGATGCTATAATATTATCTTGAAATGTAGAGTAACTACAAAGACCATAATCCTTTTCTGTCTGTTTCTGTGCAATCAACATTAAGAAATTGATGTTGTATAGTTTGTATATTTAACATGCAATAAATGCACCCAAGGCTCATCAAGGCATTGTTAGAGTAAAAGTATTATATACGGTACTCTATTAAAAAAAAATATAGCAATAAATGTCTGACTATGACATTAGTAATTGGGAGATAATAAATTGCATAACATGTTTAGAAGACAAAAGTAAATACTACCTACTTCTTTGTGCTCACAGGTACAAGAGCAGTCAGAAGGAGGTGAACTGGTCTAAACTCCAAAAGCCCATTTACTTGAGCAACAGGGGCAGTAAATTTTCAGACTGGGCGGCTACCTGGGCTGGATATCTCATCAGCAAGGTTTGGAAAAAATCGTCTTCATTGCTGCTTTCAGAATTGCCTAGTTATATGTAGTTTTATTATATTCTCTTTTTATTTACTTTTTATTTGACCTCCTCTGTTACGTGGTTTTGAAGTAAAAGTACTCTCACTTTCATATTGTACTTACTTGACCGCTATTTAATCATCTGTTTCAGGTGAGACACGAGTTGGCTGGAAAGGTGTTCAGCTGCTGTAGTTTCATCGTTAAACATGATTACAAAGTCACCATTTACCTGCTGCCTCACATCCTGCTCTACATGCTGCTCAACTGCACCCCTGAGGAACAACAGGAGGTAAAAATTTACCATATTTAATAAAATTTAAAACATAATAACTATCAGACAGGCTCTAAAAACATGCACTATGCCACCTGCTTGCCTTCTTGTAGATGTTATTGTTTTGCATAGAATTTTACTCAGTATGGAATTTAACTCTATTTTTTATTCAGTTAGAGATTTATTTATTTTTTGCTCTAGAAAAATGTGTTTTTACAGTGAGCAGGGTTCACAGATCTGACCTGTTTATCTCCATGGAGACAGATTTAATGTCATAATGTGGACTGTTAGGCAGTGGATCCTTTCCTGGAAACATTGTACAGTGTACTTTATGCTTGAAGACTTAAAATAATGTCTGTCTTGTGTCCAGGTGACAGAGGAGATGCTGGCAGTGCTGATGGAGGGAGATGGTCATGGAGAAGGTCTGATTCAGGAGAATGCCTCTAGTTTGTCTCAGCTCAGCACACAGACTGTGTTCAGCATGTGGTCCCACCTCACACAGTGGAGCCGCCATGTGCTCTCCTCCAAGTCCAAACAAAATGGTAATACATTACTAAACATACATATCATACAAACAACACACACATATTTGAATGCATTATCTTGAGAAGAAACTTAACAACATGTACAGGTACTTTATAGGGATGGTCCGATATAGATTTTCTTAGAAATTTAACATTTTCCCACAAATTGCAAAATTATCATCAAGTTCATGAGTTCTGTATACTGTGTACTATGATAGAAATAGTTTGACTTTATATGATGATTGTGCAAAAATATGACCATCTTAGAAAAATATTCCTAATATTACCAATACCAATATGTTGTCTATCCCATGAATTTCAATTTGTAGAGGTCTAAACGACAGTTACAACAAGATTTTTGTATAAATAGACTAAGAATGATAATATGAAATGAAAATAAAGTCTAAATCTGACCTGCGTTGTGTGTTATAGAGAGTGGAGACTACCAGCGTGTGGTGGCATTCCTGAAGGGAATCCCTCAGGATGTTTTGGCCAAAGCGTCTCTCCGGTCTAAAGCCTACACTCGTGCCGTCATGCATTTTGAGGCCTACATCCTCGAAAACAAGGAGAACGTGCAAGACCACCTCACCTTTCTGCAGGTAATTATTGGGATTTTTTAATTCTTTTTTTAAATAAAAAAGTCCCATTGCTGTTTCTGAAATCATAAAATGCTTAAGAAGGAAATTACCTGCTAACATTTTTTTTCAATTTCATTAAATTAATGTTGAACTTCTAAACAGAAGTTTTGTTCAATAACCTCCATAAAATTTAATAGTAAATGGTCACATTTTTATATAGTGCTTTTACACCTTCAAGGCCCTCAAAGCGCTTTATATGAAGGAAGCCACTTACCCATTCATACACACATTCATACACCAGTGTACATAGACACTGTGGGAGAGGCGGGTTATGTATCTTGCCCAAGAACACAAAGAAAGCATTCATCTGTGAGAGCTGGAGTGGATCTGACTGCTCAACCAATTATGTTTTATGCTGAGATGCTTCTGTTGCATATATTTAATTGTAGAGTTGTGCTGGGACCTCCAAGAAATATCTGATATTATTTCATAAATAATAATGCCACAAGCTTTTGTTATTTTTTCTCCAATAATTAATGATAGCCAGTCCAACATATACAGTAGTCAGTGTTTTTTCACATATATTCTATGAAACATTTTGCATTTTTTATCCATCTTGTATAGACTTTGTATGCTGCGATGCATGAACCTGATGGAGTGAGAGGAGTGAATGCTTTGAGAAGAGAGGAACCTTCTTTACGAGAGCAGATCCTGGAGCACGAGAGCATTGGACTGCTGCGAGACGCTACGGCGTGCTATGATCGTGCAATACAACTTGAATCTGATCAGGTATATATGGACACTGTAGAAACTGGATTAAAAAGCAATATAACAAGATAATATTTGAGTTTTGGTATTTTGTTATAGATTGGTCACTACCATGGCGTGATGACATCCATGCTTGGCCTTGGGCAGCTGTCAACTGTTATTACTCAAGTTAATGGTGTACTGGCAAATAGGTAATGAAGACTTACCCAGATAGTCATGTAATTATACCTGTATGGTATTTAATACACTTTATTTATATTTTTGCAAATTGCTGCACAAAAAATTTCAACTAAGAAATCAAACAAAATACGCTGTATTTAACTCTACTAGTTAAATAGAAAAAAACAATAATAAAATCAAATAAGAGCAAATGGATCAAAAAATAAACCATATCTTATCGATAACCTTATATTTGGTGTGTCTGAGGCTTTTATTTCAGTTAAAAGCTAAATGAACAACAAGAGCAAGATAATTTATTACAAATTTACTAGTATAATTATTTATAATTGTAGTATCATATTAATGGGTCAGTAGCTTAATGGACGTGATTGATTTTTCTGTTATTATATAGACCTCAATGGAAGTCAGACCTGAACACGTACAGAGTGGAGGCTGCTTGGAAGCTTGGAAAATGGGATCTACTTGAAGACTACCTAGAATCAGGTTTGTTGTTGAAGCAATAGTTTTTATGTAATTTTTTTCCATTTTCATCATTAGTTGTCCTCATAAATAATTATTATGTTTATAGATTGTCCGTCCAGTACATTTGGAGTGCGCCTGGGACAGTTGTTGTTGGCTGTAAATAAACAGGACAGCAAAACATTTTATGAGAAACTGAAGCTGGTGAGAAAGGAGCAGGTCGTGCCTCTATCTGCAGCGAGCTATGAGTGTGGCACCTACCAGAGAGGATACGAGTACATTATCAGGTCAGTTAATCTATCTGCACTGTTGTGCTTTTGTTAAGTATTACTGACAATTACACTCTCAGTTGCTCAAATGAATGTAGGAAAAAATAGACAGATCAGAATAATATTAGTCCTGCTGTGAACTGGTAAAACTTTTGTTCTTTTGATTTCATCTAGTTCAGGGATAAAGCTCATAATTATATATAAAACAATTTATTTTTTGGTTTAGCAATGCATTATATTTTATTGCTATTTTCACATACACATGACTCAGTCCTTACTTTGTCCTTCAGTTGCTAACCTCATTGTATTAATACCAAATATTATTTTAAAAAAAGAATCCATATTCACTCCAAGCTAAATGCATTCATTATTTGACCTCTCACTTTAACTATATCTGAATAATATTTTAATCATTATTATTATGTTATCTTTTACCTTCTGTACAGGCTGCATATGCTCAATGAGTTGGAGCACACCTTCACTGATCTGCAGAAACAGAAGTCTTCTCCTAAAACCCCTCAGCTCCCTCTGCACTGGGCTGAGAGGCTGGAGATGACCCAGAACTCATTCAGAGCCAAAGAACCCATCTTGGCTCTACGGCGGGCCCTGCTCAGTCTGAGATCAGAGTAAGTCATTATTGGGGATATATTTTATGTAATTAAATTTTTTTCGATTGGGTTTTATGGTTGCAGATGCATACAATTCAAAATAAATAAACCAGAGTACATCATGAGATTAGAGTAAGGATGAGTTAACAGTTTTCATTATTTGGTCCTAAATGAGCCAATTTTAGTCTTGATCTAGTCCAGGTTTAGTTCCAATTTTGATATGGCAAATGTGCACGTGTGAATGCACCCTAAATTATTATTGTATATTGATTAATATTTAGCAAAATGCTAAATAACTAAGGTGAACAATCTGATATTTTATAACGTTAAAAAAGGGTATTCTCTATATACTAGTCAAAAATCAGAACAAAGTCAACATTTTGAGTCACAATTGAGAGGAAAAAATCTGTTAAATGCAAGAACTTATTATAATTAGTATAATTCTGATATTGCAGTGATTTCAAAATTTGGTTCAGACTAAAAAAACTTACAAAACAGTAAAAAAAAGTGGAAGACTGAATGAACCCACTCAGGATTGTACAATATCTTATGCAGCCCTAAGGTTTTGTTATTATAAAACAGTACTTTTTTTGTTTGTAGATCTGCCTCTAAGGAGCTGATCGGAGAGTGTTGGTTACAAAGTGCTCGAGTGGCCAGAAAAGGAGGACAGCACCAGGCAGCGTTTAATGCTCTTCTGAATGCAGAGAACACTCACCTCGCTGAGCTCGTCACTGAGAAAGCAAAGTGGCTTGGCTCCAAGGTACACAATAACTATATATTAAGTTTGGGGAGAAAATATTACGACTATCTGCCTATTCATGATTTTTTAAGTGTACTTAATAAAAATGCTTTATACCTACAATATTTGGAAGTATCACCAGGTTTAAGATAGGTCTATACCAGGACTATACCAGGCCAAAACTAAGGCTAATTCAGGTCAAATACAGGATTAAACCATGACTTAAATTTGAATGAGAACATTGAAAGGAAGACAAAAACATAAATACAATGCACTGTAATTTATACACCTAAGACTAGAACTGCAGCAGACCATAATCTGAGAACCATTGACCTTATAAGCTTACATTACAAAATAATCACTTCACAAAATTTATATTTACTTACCTTACCTCAGCATACATTGCTAATTAATGCCAGTTTTGCTTGTTTTTAATCTTAGTTTTTTCTCATTTCAGGGCGATGTACATCAAGCCTTAATAGTTCTACAGAAAGGTGTCGAGCAGTGTTTTCCAGAGAACCAGGTCCTTACAGACCCACGCAGTTTACAGACCAAAGGGAAGGCCATGCTGCTGGTAGGACACTTTATGGAGGAGACCGCCAACTTTGAATCCAATGCCATCATGAAAGTTTACAAGGTACATTCTACTTAAAGGGCATTGTATTTCATTTTGTAACAGGTCTGTCTCCTTTGAGATATTATTGCTTATAGGAATAGGAATGTTCCACAGTATAGCATTAAATGTATCAGTCTCCATGGAGACAATTACAATAAAGATGCTTATTACCGAACTAATGCAAGATGGATAGATAGGTTTAATGTTATACTGTGGAACATCTCCCTTTAGACAAGCAGGTGGCAGAACTTCCACCAGAAAAAGTTATATTGTGCATTTAGTTATGCCAAATCAAATCTCAGGCAAAACATTATTATTCTTTCTATTCTAGTTATCCAATTATACATGTTTTTGGCAGGTGAACAGTTGCCAACATGTAGACTAATTTGTTGTGGAAATTAAATGTTATGCTTTAGGTTTCTCTGTTAAAAGTGTAATTTTTTGATACACTTTTTGGTAACACTCTAAATTTTAGCCATAGAAATATTTTAATATTTCAATACATTTCCTTCACCTTTTAGGATGTGACCAATCTTCTGCCTGAATGGGAAGATGGCAACTTTTACCTGGCCAAATACTATGACAAAGTGATGCCAATGGTGACTGACAACAAGATGGAGAAACAGGGCAACCTCATCAGATATATTGTAACGTACTGTGGGAAGTAAGATATTATTAGTATTTATTTATTATTTAATTTCTTAATAAGTCATGTAATGTGTTGTTTATGATGCAAAATGTATGTTTCAGAGCATTACAGTACGGAAACCAGTACATTTACCAAGCAATGCCTCGAATGTTGTCTCTGTGGCTTGATTTTGGAGCCAAAGTTTGTGAGTGTGAAAAAGGTACAGCAAATTTTGTAGTTATTTTTATCACTACACTTCAAGGTGCTTTATGTAACTTTCTGGGTGGGGGTCCATCACCTGGTCGCTTCTGTGAATATGTCATTACTCTGCATGGAATGTTCCACAGTATGACATTAAACAGCTCTACCTTACATTTATTAAATTACAAGTACTTTTATAGCTCATAGATACCCAGAAAAACAGGCATATTGATTGTGAACATGGTTGCCTCTCCACAGATCTGACCTGTAACTTGGTCTGGTTTGGTCTCCATGAAGATAGAAAGGTTTAAATAGTGAAAATCAGATACTTATCAATGCTAAAACTAGTATCAAATCTAGATATTCTGTATAAATGTTGATACTGAAAGAAATGACAAAACCAGGACAAAATATACCTTTCCCGAACAGTTTTTAGTGATCTTTAGCTTTATCAAAACTAGTTTCAAACACATGGTATTATAGAGGAAGTATTATTATTTTGTGTTGAAAAATTTAGTTTTTTTATAAATTGGTTCTGAGCATTAGTCCTAGACCTGTCGTGATAATTACTGCATCGCCTTATTGTTATATATCTAAAAGATGGAACAATATATTTTGTGACTCAGAATTTATCATGTGTAGAATTTCTTTATGTGTTAAGGGTCCAGATAAGTGACTTCTATAGCTAAATGTCTATTTTAAAATGGTTTACTGGGATTATCTAGCATTATTGTTATTGTGTCAAACTCATAAAATAGTTTCAGTATTATCGTTTATCACAATATTTATCTGTAGTAAAATATCGTGCTTCAAAATTTGTTATCGTGACAGGTCTAATTGACTCTATTCCTTAGTAATGAGGAAATATCACATGTATAACTCTATTGTCAATGGATTCCTTACAGCTGGGCGCGCAGACAGGCAGATGCGTCAGGAGATGTCTAAAATAAACTCTGTGATGAATGAGATCTGTGTGAACTTGGCCCCGTACCAGTTCCTCTCCGCCTTTTCTCAGCTCATCTCCAGGGTCTGTCACTCCAGCGACGAAGTCTTCGATGTTCTCATGGCGATTGTTGCTAAGGTCTTCCTCGCATACCCTCAACAGGCCATGTGGTTGATGACTGCTGTGTCCAAGGTCAGTGTTTGATAAAGGTGCATCATGTAACTTTTTGGTTGGTCACCTTCTTATTTATATGGATCTCTTATTGCTCTGCTTTGAATGGTCCACAGTATGACACTAAACAGATGTACCTTACATTTATTCAATTACTGGTGGTTTTATAGCTCAAAAAAAAAAAACATCTAGAAAAACAAACAGTCTGGCTATGAGTTACCGCTGACCAGTAATTTTTGGACTCCATGATGATAGAAAGGTTTAACACCAGACTGTGAAACATTTCAGACAATGCAATAGCATCCATACAGAAAAGGTGGCAGACCCTCCACCAGAAAAGTTTCACAGTACACCTTTAAATATCAAATGAGATTGAATGAGAATGCTTTATTAATTATTTATACATTATCTTTTTCAAATTCCTGCTATAGGTAACATTTTAGGACTTTTTACCAGTACAAAGATAGGGTATTTTATTTTAAATAGTTAATTGCTATGGAAACAGTCTTGATTTTTCATCATTCTGAAACCCATGCATAGTCCTGTTTTGTTTAAATGGGGGTTTGGTGAAATTGTTGTTCATAAGAAAGATGTGGCCTACAGGAGCACTACATGAATCGAGTTTGTTTAAAAATGTATGAAATCTATCTACAGTAATTTGTTAGTTTTTCTAGGGCCTCATTTTCCTGCCACTGTTGTTTTATTTGTTTTTTTGTGTGGTTTAGTTGAATAAATTATGGAAACTGTAAGACAAGTTAAACATTTGTGTATTTTTGTTTTGAATATATTATAACCTACATAGGAATACTGACTACTCCACTGTTTTAGATGTAGGATTTTAACGCTGAACTCTAAAACTGTGTTGAATGTAGTAATACAGATGAACTTTTCTTTGTTGTTTATTCCAGTCTTCATACCCAATGCGTATGAATCGCTGTAACCAGATCCTGAAAAAGGCCGTCTGTCTCAAACAGTCCTTGGACAAGTTTATTGGAGACGCAAACAGACTGACAGATAAACTGCTGGAGCTTTGCAACAAACCAGTAAGAATACTACAATTAAGACTCCTGAATTATTTTGTTATTCACAAGGTTAGACGAGTAGGCAAATATGTGGTATAGGAGGCAGATCAGTCAGCATTTTATGTGTGGAGTTTCAAATGCTTCTATCTTGAGCTCATACTTCACTTGTGTTCTTGGGCAAGACACTATGGGCCATTCTTAAGACCTATGCTTTATTGCTAGTTTAAAAAAATGCATCCACCTTTATACATAATATGCTGATGAATATCAAATAGTGCTTGGTTACTGATTTTGTAATTACTCTGTACTTGTATGAAAAGTTACATAGTGCACCTTTAAATGATTTAAAGGTGCACTATGTAACTTTTCTGTCATCTGCATGTCTTCATGGAAATGTATTTGTTTTGCCTGGAATGTTTCACGGTACAGCATTAGACTGATCCATCTTGCATTTATTCAACTGCAGGTACCCTCAGTTTTAAATACCTTGAAAGAACTGCCATTTTTACTGTGAGCGGAGTCACATTTTCACAAATCTGAACTCTATCTTGGCTTGGTGGTGTCAACTGCTTGTCTCCATTGAGATAGACAAGTTTACTGCCATACTGTGGAACATTCCAGGCAAAGCGATAACTATGATAACTATTCCATGGAGACAAAGAGATGGAGGACCCTCAATCTAAAAAGTTAAATAGTACACCTTTAATATTTGTTTTCTTTTATTAGGTGGATGGTAACAGCACCACCCTGAGTATAAGCGTTCACTTTAAGCAGCTGAAGCGACTGGTGGAGGAGCCGACGTTCAGCCAGATCCTCATCCCTCTGCAGTCTGTGCTCATTCCTACACTGCCCTCTACTAGCGGGGCAAACCCTAATCATGACCCCTTCCCTGGACACTGGGCATACCTGAATGGATTTGAGGACTCAGTAGGAGCACATATTTTAAATATTAAGAAACAAATATAGGTTTGATTGTGTATAAATATATTTTTCTTTTTAGGTGGAGATCTTGGCGTCTTTACAGAAGCCTAAGAAGATCAGTTTGAGAGGTTCTGATGGGAGGAGCTATACTATGATGTGTAAACCCAAAGATGACCTCAGGAAAGACTGTCGACTTATGGAGTTCAACTGTCTCATCAACAAGGTGCCTTATATATTTGTTTTTTCTGTTTTAATTTACAATAGAAAACAATGCACTATTTCATACAAACTTCATACAATTTTTACACTTGTTTCATTTTTAATAACTATTCCTCAAAATGCGTAGACATTTTTGGTTATTAAATGTTCCTTTGACAAGTGAAATTCTCCACTGTGGAATCAAGTTCTTTTATTACTTCAGTCTTTTTATTTGGTCATAGTTCCCCTTCCAACTACCATGCACTTGACAGATTCATGCAGGCAAGTTTGATGTTGGTGCCTTGCCCAAGGATACAGTATTAGTTTGAACCACTAACTTTATTATTTGACAATCCCACCCAGAGCCCTGTTGGTCAGATATGATAAATAGTAAGTCAAATATTGAATGGTTTTGTGTTTTGTTTAGTGCCTTCGTAAAGATGCTGAGTCCAGGCGGAGGGAGCTCCATATTCGGACATATGCTGTGATTCCTCTCAATGAAGAGTGTGGGATTATCGAGTGGGTCAGTAACACTGCTGGACTACGCCACATCCTCACCAAACTATACAAGGAGAGAGGTACATTAAACTTGTTTGAGAACTCTTATATTGCCCTCACTATAAAATCATGTGTTTCTAATTTCTGCCATATTAACAGTATAATGTAAATTTAAAATATTTAGCATTGCTTAACTGGTTGAGGGCACATTACCTTTCTGTCCATGGAGACATTGCAGCTTTGCCTGGAATGTTCCACAGTATCGCATTAAATTTATCTATGCCCATGGAGACAGGTTGATACCACCAGGCTAATTCAGAATGCATGTTTACCAAGTTTTTCTTTTTTTTTCCTTTTTACCATTTTTCTTTTTAGATTTTGCAATTAGACACCAGTAATTGAATAAATGCAAGAATAGTCCAGGCAAAGCATTTTCATGGAAACAAATGAAAAGTTAAAATAGTTTCACCTGAGTCCATGCTCCCTCTTGCAACAAGGAAATTTTTGTGAACATTTGAGTGGAAATACTGTTTCCACACATTACATTTCCTAACAAGTGTTTTTAAACATGTGATGCTTGCAATAGTGCCTTGATTAAACTGCTTTGTATTCTGTGTGTCTCTCTTAGGGATTTACCTGTCAGGCAAAGAGCTCAGGAAACTGATTCTTCCCAAGACAGCTCCGTTTGAAGAGAAGCTGAGAATCCACAAAGAGGTGCTGTGTGCCCGGCATCTTCCAGTGTTTTATGAGTGGTTTCTGCGCACCTTCCCAGACCCAACATCATGGTAAGGATTTTGTCAGTTGAAAAGAAAAAAAAAGATTAAATACCAACTTTATTACTGTAGTCCTAGACGAATTTCAGGTTAGAGTGGCAGCATTGCAATATAAACATTTAAATCATAGTAGAATTAAAATGCTATTTTGATCTTGGCTTGCAATTAATATTATGCAATAAAGATTAAAAAAATGTATAAGATTTAATCAAACTAAATATCTGCATCTGTTAGTGAAGCCAAAACAAAGAAATACCAAATATAAATCATTATTTTTTTACATAATATTTTGTGTGAACCAAATATTTTGCCATAAATCAAATTGGAAATTATTATAAATTATTATTATAAATGAAGATATAGTATTGTGTATTGATGGCAGTAGTGTTGTTGTAGTAGTAACAAAACAACAAAATATATTACAGATACCTCATCTGCTTATTTTACGATTTTGAATGAGGTCGAACATCATAATATTTTAATTATTATGGCTGATTTTCTCAAACCACATCCCCATTTCAAACCCATTACAGTATGAAAATGTTCATATACATTAAAGTCATTAAAGTGTTTACCCTGTCTCACAGGTACAGTAGCCGCTCTGCCTACTGCCGCTCCACTGCTGTCATGTCCATGGTGGGATACATCCTTGGTCTGGGGGATCGTCACGGTGAAAACATCCTCTTTGACTCTTTCACTGGAGAATGTGTACATGTGGATTTCAACTGCCTCTTCAACAAGGTTGTAAAACTTTATACAGTAATTATTGTTATTGTTGAGTACTGATAACTGTATATGACTGGTTGTGACATTTTAAATTCAATTCTAAAATCTTTATTAATTGTATTTTTTTTTCTCTTTCACTAATTATTTGTATATCCACTAGGGGGAGACATTTGACGTGCCAGAAGTGGTTCCTTTCCGTTTGACCCAAAACATGGTTCATGCGATGGGACCAATGGGGACCGAGGGGCTCTTCAGACAGGCCTGTGAGGTCACCCTGAGGCTAATGCGGGACCAGAGAGAGCCACTCTTGAGGTATGCACCAGAGGAGAAAGATTTTTTAATGTTTGAAAAATAACTAATGTCTCAAAAAAACTTTTGAGACACATTTAATAATAAAGATTAGAATGATCTTCAAATGAGTAAATAATGTTTTTTAAGTAGTAGTACAACAATGCATTTAATTTGGTTATTGATTGTCAATCCATAAACATAAAATTGCTAAGGGGGTTTAGTGGTACAAGAACTATACTAAAAACAGCTTGTTATCAACTGCTTAAATTCTGCTTTGGTAGAACCTACACAGACAAAAGAGTGTATTTGCATGTACTGTATAATGAATAATGCATACGTATATAATTATATAATGGCAAATATTGTCTTTCTGTTTGTGTCAGTGTGTTGAAGACATTCCTTCATGACCCACTGGTTGAATGGAGCAAAGCTAAAGGACTTTCCAAAACTCAAGCCAGTGAGACAGGAGAGATTGTGAACGAAAAGGTAAACTTATTAAAAGTTCTTTTTATTATTAATCAGCTACTTCAGTATCCACATTCCAACTAGTGTGCAATACAATAAAACTAAGTTCTTCCAGATTTACTTTCTTTACTGAGCCAAAAATGAAAATGTGTAATATTCAAAAAGTCAGATTCTAGTCAGCATTAATTTTTTTTTTTGGTCCTGGTTTGTCTTTTCATCTCTGTTGTACATTAATTTAGTAAATCAATTGAACTGCATCAGGAATTGCTACTGCATTAAAGGTGCACTGTAAATTTTTGGTTGGGGGTCTGTTACCTACTTGTTTCTATAAAGATGTCATTGCTCTGCCTGGAATGCTCCACAGTATGACATTAAACAGCTCTTCCTTACATTAATGAAATTGCAGCTGGTTTTGTAGCTCCAAAATTCCTAAAAGACTGTGAGTGGGCTTCCCTCTCCACAGATCTGACCTGCAACTTGGTCTGGTTTGGTCTCTATGAAGATGGAAAGGTTTCATGCCATATTGTGTAACATTCTAGACAAAGACATCTCATCTTTATGGAGAAAAACATTTGATGAACCGTCCACCAAAAAAGTTACATAATGCTCCTTTAAGTTATTACATTTTAAAATTAAACTATTCACATCATTTCTCATGCAGCACTTACCTAAGCCTTTGGTCCCTTCTTTTCCCTCAGGCCAAAACCCACGTGTGCGACATAGAGCAGCGTCTGCAGGGAGTGATAAAAAGCAGGAATAAAGTCCTGGGTTTGCCTCTGTCCATTGAAGGCCACGTGCACTACCTCATTCAGGAAGCCACAGACGACAAACTGCTGTGTCAGATGTACCTGGGCTGGGGACCATATCTCTGAGCGCACATGTGGTGAGGAGAACAGGTGCTTTCCACTGACATCCTGTTTACAAATATGGACTCAGAACTTGGCAACAGAATTATGTGTGAAAATTTGAAGAAAAAGAAATTGCACTTACGCCTGTTTGGCAAAATGTTTGTAATAATTGTTTTCATTTTAAATGTTTTAACCTTCTGTTTTCTAGAAGCACATGTTCACTTACAATAAATATTCCACTTTATTAGACTTTTCTTTCTTTTTTTTCTTTTTATCACAGATTTTATTTCTAACATAACATCATGTTTATCATTGCAACATATATTTCATTAGAGGAGTTTTTATTACTCATTTATTACTTGGAAAACCTGTACTCTTGTGACAAGATGGCTTACCTCTCCACAGGTCTGACCTGTAATTTGCCAATTGGTGCCAATCTGGAGTAACTCCAGTAATGCAGTAACATTTCAGTACAGACAAACAGGTAGTGGATTCACCTAGAAAAGTTAGAAAGTGCATCTTTTAAGTAATAAAACATTGGCTGGAAGAAGCCAAAGAAATAATAATAATTGTTTTTCAAGTATTCCAGCATTTTCTGGTCATATATGTTCTTTTTTCCCCCCAATTGTTTCTATTAATAGTACAACTTAACTCACAGTAGCAGCCAGCCGCTCTGTCAGATGGTAGCTTTAATCCTATGTCTCTTGCATCGCTTAAGAGCAATGGGCCAATCCACTCACCTCATATAAACACTAGCCCAGATTACAGCCAAGTGCGAGCCTGAAAGCAAGCAGCTCTAGACACTACAGCCAGAACAGTACATCTTATTTTTTATTTCTTAGGTACTTATGTGGAGCTAGGTTTTCATTATGCAGAAATGAGTGCAGATATACAGCAGATCACTGTTTTTGTCATCATTACTGTCCTCCTTTTCGTCAATGCCTGGCTGCTGCTTCCACTTGCCTTCGGATAGGAGGTAGGATGGCTGCTCTATAATAAAAATAGCACCATGGCATTATTACAGGATAAGAAATCTGTAGATATTTGGGAATTATTTGGCATGAGCTCTATAAATTGTTTCTTGGAATTTGTGCAAGTTTTCAATGAGTGGTGAATGGCAAATTGATCATTTAATTTGAATATCATAATCTAAAGAAGTGAAAGGTACATTTATACACTTTATTACCTTGTACATCAAAGTAAACCAAAACAGGGTTTGTATTTGCATAAATGATTCGTCAACCCATATGTAATTCAATCCAGTCAGCCTTTTACTTAGCAGACTGCTAACGTATCCTTGTAGCTAATGTTTGTAGCATCACACGGGACACGGCAAAATTAACATGAATGAATGAAACAAATATTCTGTCTTCTCAACTGTGATTAAATACTAAAACCAAAAGACTATGGAAGATAAACGGGTGCAAGAAAATGTTTAAAACGACAACAGCAGGTGCATATTTTTTTAACAAAATCCATTGACAGTAAACAGACTTGACTCCGTCTGGAGGACGCAAGAGGGGCGAGCCGTAACCTAGCAACCAACGACCCCGATAGAATAAAATAAGATAAAACTTCACAGTGAATAAATTAACCACATCAGGAATAAAATGTTAAGTATGCATGTAACAAAAAGTATAACAATCAGGCTATGGTAAATGGTTTAATTCCACTGAGTGATTTAAATGGGGGCAAAGCTTTCTATGCAAAGCTATGGCGATGTTGTTAGCCGCTAGTTGACGTTAGCCGCCTGGAGGTAAACAGAGGAACGGTCAGTGCTGGTGAGCGCAGCCGAGGAGAGGACGCAGCCGGGTGGACACAGAGCTCCTGACCTTGGAGGCTGTCATGGATCTGACGCGACTGGCTGTGGACGCTGGGCAATTCATCAACCGTGCCGTTCAGGTAAATCACGATTATGTGCCATTAAAGTATTATTAGTGTATTGTTTATTGCAACCATAATAGTTTGAAACCTACCATGGGTCAAACATGTTAATGAGAGATGTCAACTCGGTGTGCTCTATGCTGATGTTGCCACAATAAATAAATAATTTACTACTACATTTATTTTGTGCAGGTGCTGTTAAAGCTGGATTGCCAACACCCAGAGACACACATCTACAATTTTAAACTAGCCCGCATGCCCACGTGTCAATGCAAACATTCAGTGGGTTCATAAGGGAATTATATCGAGTTTAGGCCTGTCTTTTTTGAATGAAATAGGTCAAATTAATTCTGATTTATGCATGCTTTTTCTCTTTTGGTTGGGCAATCATATAGGGTTAATAAACTGCCTCAGTCAATCCCCTTAGGGCATTTCTATCTTTTCTAGCAATCAATTATTCCATCAATTATTCATACAAATGTGAGTTTTAGAACTTTGTCCACTGTCATAACGTTAGCAAGTCTCTACTATCTGATTGTGTATTTTCCAACAGTACACAGGGGAAACCATTGGAGCAACAGAGAAGACTGATTTGGAGCCAGATATAGAGCGGCTTCTTGCCAGAGCAGACGCCACAAAGAGTTATACCGATCAAATTATCAGCCAGACAGAGGCCCTGCTACAGCCAAACCCTGGTGAGATAACATTTTCTTTAGTAGTGTTGGTGTACTAACAAGGCAGATTACACGATAGCAATATCAAGTCTCATATCATATTATGGTATAGAGTTTTGCCATTTCAAAATGTAAGCTTCTAGGCTTTTAATATTAAAAGTGCACTGCGTAACATTTTTAGTCCACCACCTGCGTGTCAACATGGAATTGTTATGGAAATGTTATGTAAGTTGATTACAGCACTATGCTACATTACAATTCAGATCTGTGGAGAGTCACTCCTATGCACAGAAGGAATTACTGTATTAAGCAGGAAAAATGCCTATAATGAATCAAAACTAGAAGGATAAGTTTAATGCATACCATTCCAGAGAAAGCAATAACATCCCCATGGAGACAAGCAGGTAACGGACCCTCCACCAGGAAAGTTGCACTTACTTTATCACTTTTTATCAAAATCTGACTAGTGTTAATACTTGCATTGTAACAACATTATCTGTTAAATCCACTTATGTAATCAAAACTTGTGTCTATGTATTATGTTCAGATGAATGAGTATAAAATAAACACTTGTCTTTTTCTAAGGGATTAACTTGTGTTACACCAAAAGCTGATGGCTCTGCTTCATTATCTTCCTTCACTAATGTTTCACGTGTGTGGTCCTTTCTGCTTTTGACTAATAAGATTGTCAAAACAAAAGTACAGAACAAGTATTGATACTAAAAAAGTCACATTCACAGAACATTCACATTCCTTGTTAGCTTTAGAATGATCTTGAGCTGTATCTGTGTACAAGTATAATACAACAAAGACTAGTATACGCCTATGGACCACTATATAACATACCTGGTCTAGGCAGTGCACAGATATAAGGCCACATGGTAATATAAAGAAAGTATTTTTTTATCATCATTGTAGCAGTGGGATCAGTATTGAGTATCGAATCTATTCCTTAGTTTTGAAATAGAGTTTGAAATGTTAGTATCATGACCCCTGGCTGTAAATAGACCTGTTAAGATGAATGAGACTGGTTATTTTTTCATCTTGAATCCAGTTACCCCAGCCAATAGAATTAAAACTGGACATGGTCTGCTATTTATCAAATAAGGGAACCATGTAGCTGCCAGAGATAATAAGCTTTTACTGTGTGATGAGGCCAGCTTCAGGGTGAGTGTACTCTTCTCCAATAAACAAAAGAAACTGGCTATAATTTCAAACAGACTAGAGGTTAACTACCTTTAAGTGGGTTTATAATGGCACTCTCTTCTTTTGAGACTTTGTTTTACTCATTGGTCATTTTCAGACTTAATTATAACCAAAAGAAAAATTCACAAATGCTGACAACAATAGTATTTTGTAAGGAATTTATCTTGGGAATGAAAGTGCACTATAAAAAAGACAACTATCATCAAATGCTTTCAACATTATATTCCATACATTCATCTGATGACTAAGCACAATAGCTATACTATTAGAAAGTACATGATCTATTTCACAACATTTTATTAGATGGAAACTAGTGACAAAACTACAAAACTAAATTGGCTTAAAGGTGTACTGTGTGACTTTTCCAGTAGAGGGTCCTCCACATGTTTTCTCTATGGGGATATTGTGCTTTGCTTTGAAGATTTTAAACTTATTTATCTCCAAGGAGGTGGCACATGTTACAAGTCAGATCTGTGGGGAAGCTAAAGCGTGCTCTGAGAGGATTGTATTTTAAAGGTATTGTTTAGCAAAGAAATCACCTATAATTGGGGAAAAAGAGTAAGATAGAAAAGTTTAATGGCATCCCAAGCAAAGAAATAACATCTCCATGGAGACAACCAGATGGCGAACACACCAGAAAATACATAATGCACCTTTAAATAGTTAATTTATTAATACACATTTCATACAACATGTGGCAAATATATCAGCAGGCTGCCCTTATGTTAGTGTTAATTCAGAAAGATCTTTGTATGTTTATCCATTCACACAAGTATAGTAGTATGAATAGAGTATACAAACAATATACATTTTGCCCGACCACATCTCACTTAAACACCACAGGCCTATAGGATGTTGTGATGTAATCTGAAACCCAGCATTATAATGGTATATTTTTGTATTTGTTATGTCTGTCATGGATTTTAGCTTCCTGTTATATCATATGCAGCATTTTCAGGACTCTTTCCATTCAAAAAATATACAGATTTGTTTAAAATTGTTAATCTCCATGGCAACGGTTCTAATTTCTCCATCATTTTGAATATCATGGACAGCTGCTCGTTTGGAGGACCGGCTGTATGAGCACCTTGAATGGCGCGCTCCCCCTCGGCCTCGCAGCCTGGAGGTTCTGGGAGAGCTCACGACCAGCGCAGGGCAAGAACTGGGCTCAAACACACCCTATGGTGAGTTTAAAATATAGATTACAACATGTACCAATCAGAATAATGGAAATAGTTTGTAAATACTGTGAATTCTATTTGACATCTGAAACAATTTTGAATATGAGTTGTCTTCTCTGTTTGTGTCTCCTCTCGACCAACTTTTTTTGTTTGCATGACTAAACCATCTCAATATAGACTACCAGTCAAAAGTTTCAACACACCCTCTCATTCACTGTTTGTTTTGTTTTTACATTTTGTATACACACAGAAGACATCAACTATATGTAGTAAGATACAAGGGGATTAGCAAAGGGAAGAAAAGTTAAATAACAATATTTTATATTCAAATCCTCAAAGTAGCCACCCTTTACTTGTTTCATAAAAAAATCTTCACTACATAATTCCATATATTTTGCTTCATGTTTTTGATGTCTACTGTGTGTATAAAAATGTAGAAAGCAGTAAAAATAAAGGGAAAAAGCATGAATGAGAATGAGAGAGTGTCCAATCTTTTGACTAGTAATGTACATATATATTTTTAATTACCTTTGTAGTACTTACTACCTCACATTCTATGGTTTTTAGTTGGATATTTGTCTATAACTTATTATTTGGTGGATTCAATTATGTAATTCTGAAAATGTACAACCTTAACTCTACCTCTCACCTCTTACTCCTCTGTTTTACTTTTATTTTTTCTACAGGTTCTGCTTTGGTCAAATTTGGCGAGATACAAAAGCAGCTGGGTGAAGCAGAGAGAAAGTTCACACAAAGCACCAACATCCACTTTTTAACTCCTTTGAGAAGTTTCACTGAGGGGGAATACAAAACCATACAGGTAAAACCCACTCAGTATTATTAATTTTATCAGTACTTTTCAAATGTTCATGATTTCTTTTTATTTGGTTTAAAGAAGACATGTCGTGTTTTTTTCAGGCATTGAGTTTAATGTATGTAGATTATTATTATAGATTGTAAACATACAAGTAAGTACAGGGAAGTGTGCGGGGATAGGGGGTAGGTGAAAACTGAAATTATCTATACATACAATACAGGATTGCCCAAACATGCATGAATCAATTGGAATTTAACTTTGAGTAAGCTAATGATGAGGGGAGACTGTTATAACATGGTCAAAATCTTATAAAATTCAATGTTACATAATATTTCTCTTTTAACAGGATGAACGCAGGACTTTAATAAATAAGCGCCTGGATTTGGACATTGCAAAGACCAGATTGAGGAAAGCCCACGAGGCTGACAGAGAGGCTAGGGTAAGTCATTACATATAGTTTTAAGTATATATTTGTTATAACAAGACTTTGGCTCTTATGACTGTATTAAACCCTATTCAGATCTGTATCATGTCTGTTAAATCCACTGACTTAGCTATTTTGACAGAACCTCAATTCAAACCCTGTGGATGAAGACTATTTGGCTCATGTTTCCTATATGTTCAGCTTCATTCGTGTCAAATGGCTAAAGGTCAGTATAGTTCAAATATAATGGTACGCATGACTCAGCACATTTTTTATTACTGTGTATTGTTATTAAAATGGTCTCTTCTTGATTTTTAATTTAGATTTGGGCTCAGGAAATCTCACAAGTAAGTGAATATTACATAATAACATTCAATTTAATGAGCTAAACCATCTTGTGCAGAGTCAGCAGTTATAATACAAAGACTCATTTTGTTAAGCAAGATAATGGCCTAAAGGTGTTTCTTATTGAGAAATATGAAATGGGGATGTTGTTCATGCAAATGAAAAGAAGAAATGCTGTTGGTAATATTGCAAGAGATAAAATAATAAATGGTTGTTTTCATATTCGGCACTCTCAGGTGGGGGCATGGGCCTGTATTCATTCTACTACATGCCATTTTCTTAAGAATTATTCAAAAAGAAAATACACAAATGTTGAACTTGGTCATTTGTTTTACTGACCAGGTCCACCATGTTTACTGAGTGCATTACCTTGTTTTCTGTGTATAACGTTGTCCTCATCAAAAACATAGCTGGATTTGTGTTTTGTTTCATTAATACAGAAACCCATCTTTTTTGTATAATATTTATCCAAGCACACTATACATTTGCATATGAACAACAGTATTTTTTCCAGCCCTCTCTATTAACCCTATGGGGCCTTTAAATGTTAGGGTGCCATTGTTTCATTGTTTGATTTTCTAACTTTCTGTTGGTTAAATCAACAATTTTGTGAAGCCTAACAATCAACTGCTGATGTGATTTTGGGCTCTGCAAAAATAAATTGTGAGTAAATTGAGAAGTAATGTAGCAATTGTATCTGCTTGTGTTTGTGTTTGTGTGCGTGTGCATGTTTGTGTGTGTACAGGCAGAGATGGAGTTGAGGATCTGCCAGAGTCTGTTCGATCGACAGTCTGAGATTACAAAGAGGCTTCTGATGGGGCTGGACGACACACATGTGAGTAATAAATACCAACACAGAACAGAACTTAATCTTCCTTTTCATATTCTTACTATAAAATTAAAAAGAGCTCTGTGTACATAAATTAATCAGTTACAGCACTGCAATCACTGACATAAATTACACAGATTCTCTCTTAATTTTTGAATCTGTTATAGGTATATTCAGCAGCAAGTGAACATTTTATTGTAGGTAGTGCAAGGCTAGCTCAACCTTTTTCTGTGCATGTACATGTCTTATATTTTTGGGGCACTTTGTACTTAAAGGGCACATATTGCACTATTTTCTGATCTGTGTTACAATGTTGTTTCCTCATCACAAACATATTGGTGCTTTGTTTTTTTCATTCACTCAGACGTTTCACACAAACCCTGCATATTTAGGCTGAGTTCTTCTCTCAAACAGAAAACACTCTCTTCCACCTTGTGATGTCATGAGGTAATACAGAAAATGCTTCACTGTGTTTTTAAACTCGATACATCTTCACTAGAATTATTTGGATGATTTCAGACCTGGAATTACCAATCCCTACTGAACAAAAGGTAAAAGGTAGCTGTTAACTTGAAAACCACCACTTCATGACATCACAAGGTGGAACGGAGCATTTTAAACTTGGAGATGTAGACAGACTAATAATAAAGGATTACTCAACTATGTGTGAATGAAACAAAACACAGCTCCAGGTATGTTTTTGAGGAGGTCAGTTTTGTGTAATATAGGACCTAATAATTATATTGTCTGCAGATGAACCACATGCAGAGCCTAAATGAGTTTGTGGAGGCTCAAACTTGCTACTTTGACGAGTGCAACCAACTTTCTCAAGAGCTGCAGAAACAACTGGAAAGGTTTGCACACTGTAATTATAACAGTCCAATAATTGCAACCAAATGTCCATGTTAGCGTCTATTGAAGCCACAGGACACAGTTTCATTTGCACCTAATTTGTTTCAGTATTGCTTTTCTCAGATTTCTTATTATTTAACTGAGCGGTTTATTTCCCTACGCAATCAGAACCATGAAATCTAAACTAATTTTCTCTTCATCACAGTATCCCTGCTGTATTATGCTCTAACAGTTGGCAGTCTGCAATTACCAATGGAGATGAACACGCAACAACAGACAATAATATTCCGGGTTACTTTAAAGAGTCAAACCAGGACAGTCAAATATTCCTTCATCGGATACCGGATTTTGACCAGGACTCTTGGACTGAACCCCAAAAGTTGCCCAATAACGGAACAAATCCTCCTTGCCAATCAAATACTAACTTCAATAATAACAATCCATCTTCAACAGGAAGTCAAGCGAACACCCACTTGCTAGCGTCCAGCAGCCAAGCCTCTGTCCCTCAAGTAACCAATGGCAACAGTGCACCAAATTCAAAACCAAAAAGGCATTTCTCACCTCTGCTAAGAACAGACACTACAACTGTAAGCGATGAACCGAGCGATGATTCAGAAACCAATGAGGAAGATGGCGTTACTTCTCCGATATTAAATGACAATATAGTAGAGATGTCAAATGGTACTGAAGATAATTTACCCGTTGCCAATGGAGACGAGGAAGAAGCTCCAACACCAACAAGTGAAGAGGACACCAAGGAGTCCTAACAAGCGTGTCAAATAATCATGTAGCTTGTGTTCATGTGATGTCATGTTTCTAAAGAGTATATCCAAGAGCGGAACGTTGCCATAGCGATTAATCAAAATATCATGTCTTTTGAACGGGCAAAAGTCCTTCAAGTCAGGAAGTAGTGATGTTAATGAAACCAGTGAATAGTTGAAAATTGAGGAGGGCAGCTAACGTTTCTGTGGTAGTATTTGCCTTTTAACTTTCGCACTGCAGCTGTTTTGTCCTGGTCTGTAGTTCATATCTTTGTAATTACTGGACCTATCTTCAGGAAACATAATCATACCATAAAGTTCAAGGTCTTTTCTGAAAAAATAAATAAATGTGAAATAATTTTATGACGTAACATTAAAAAGTAGCTACTTCAAGCGTCTAGATTAATATGACAACTTTGCCTACTCAATCTGTAACAAAAAAACTAAAGGTAGGGTCCAATGCAAGTTTGTATATTTCTTCAAATCACTGAATCTGCCCTGCCCTTCATCTGAAATTTTGACAGATTTTGTAAAAAAAAACAACACAAAAAACATGAAGATAACTTGAAGATAAATGCCATAAATAAATCATGTCATATTTGTCTAATGGTGCAGTAGGGACTTGTTAGCCTGTTAGCATCTTAGAACAAGAGGAACAAAGTTTAGCGTAGCGGTCAACCATTACTGTGCAGTTTAATTAATCCCAAAGGGAGATCTAATGTGAAGTGGAAGTGTAAAATAGTGCCAGTCTTTAACCATATCAATATATAATTCATATTGTTTCAAATGTGATCTGCCTCAGGTCGTTTATAATGTAGCAGTAAAATAATTATAAGAAAATGACTTTATTGTGCCATTTAATAAGCTGTGTACGGATTCATTAAAAACTGTGAGTAGTGACTCTTTTGAAATAATCTGTTTTGTAAATATTTAGACCAAAAATATTTGCCTGTATTACCATTTTTAGTGCATTTATTGAGGGATAGATTAATACTTTTAAAGGATCCATATTACGCTATTTTCTCATCCATGTTATAATGTTCCGCATCATCCGTATGTTTAACACACAAACTTTGCATATTTAGGCTGAGTTCTTTTTTCAAACAGAAAACACTCCAAATCTCAAAATGCCCTGTTCCACCTTGTGATGTCATGTGCTAATACAGGAAATACTCCACTATGTTTTTAAACTCCATAAACTTTCATTGCTTTTCACATTTGGACAATTTCAGTCCTGGAATTACCAATGTCTGCTGAACTAATGGTAAAACGTAGCTGTTAAACTGCCACTAAATGACATCACAAGGTGGAACAGGGCATTTTGAGATTTGGAGATTTCCAAACACATTCTTGGTTGTTTGTTGATGTTTTTGGGACCACTGTAAACAACTTTATACTAACTAGCTACTTGAATTATGTAACATTTAACTATTTTCTTATTATCTTTCTACTGTTAATTACTTGGCAACTTGATGTCTCTCTAATTATATCACATCCAGATTTTTTGACATTTAAACGTTTAAATATGTTATCACATTTGCGCCATGTTTATGAAATATACAAACAAATGGAGCTTACTGTGCAATTAAAGACATTTTATTATGGGCTCACAATAAAGTTTTACTGAATATACATTTTAAATTATTCCAGATTTTCAATAGTGTTACATAACATCAAGCTATCCTCTAAATGAGCATACTTAGCGTAGTATACTTGTTAATAGCGTAGAGCATGTTTGTCTAGTCTTGTACCTGATACATTTACAGTTTACCCATGATGCAATAGCACTCTTTAAAATAGGTGTAGGTGAAACGTTGGCTCATTTTGCTTAGAACTGAGGTCATTCTGTCCCAGCGCGAAACACACTAGCACCTGTGTCCTGCTGTGAGGCAACAGGCAAGGTGGCAGCTAACACAGCAAAAACATGTACAGGAAATGTCACTGTCGAAGGCATGGGTGGGTCTGTCAACACATCACAATTATGCCCCCCTTTGGTCAAACGTTCCATGTTGCTTATTTTGTAATAGAAGCCAGGCATAATGCTACTTTACCAATGTCGTCAGGTCTAATATGTTTTTCTTATAGTTACATTGACAGACTACACATGTTAAGCATACAAGTATTAAATCATATGTTAAAGCTGATGCCAGTGTGTTTTGTATTACACATGTGGACTTATTTAAATGCAAATACTGACGTCATTATAACAGTTTGAAAAATTTCACATGTGAGTGCCATGCAGATTTTCTGTGGTATGAAGTATTAGTGTTTTTATTCTTGATACATGATATACAGTATCACAGTATCTAATGTAATAATCTGGGACCAAAGTTCAGGAAATCTCCTGTCTTTTACCATATAACGGTTTGAAATCCTTGAGATCTTAGCAGAGGACACTTCAATTTATTTCTGAGATCTTATTTTTATTTGTTTGCTTATTTTTTACATTGAAAGTATGAGTTAATGATTGAAATGTATTAAAGACCCACATCTTGTAATTATATAATGAAAAAATAGACTAAACAAAAGCATGTTTTAGGATTTTGGATATTTCGATTGCACTGAAAAACAAGTGAGAGGGCTTGCATCTTCACAAACCTGACTCTTGGCCTAGAGAAGAGCCTCCTTCTGCTTATCCCTATAGAAATGTTCCTTTTTCCTTTGACTATGATATTATTCCGCAGTAGGATATTAAACATATCTATCTCCATGAAGAATGTTCCAAAGTATGGTTCTAACTTTTCATAGAATCGTCCACGTGGAGTGCCACATCTAGAAAGTTACACAGTGTTACTTTAAACATTCAAGTAGTTATATTTTCAGTTTAAAGACAGATATATTTGTATTTGCCTATACACTTATTAAATGTAGAAAATGTAGTATAGTCTATACCGCATTGTATTTTGTCTTAACTTCAAATTAGAAATCAAATGTTATGTACTAGCTCAGCAGTTTTTATTTATAATTTCTTGTTTAATCTCCCCCCTCTGTTCTTTTCCACCAAAGAATGTGTGAATGTTATGTAAGATTTGCAAGTAATTCTGCATTTAGTATTTATTATGTTATTGAACCTCTATTGCCTTTTAACTGTGTAATCAATATGACCTAAGAGACTGTTATCGAATCACAGTGTTTGAATGCAGCCCAGGAAACAGAGGTTTTTCTGCGTGAGGGCGTGTGTGGTAAGTCTCATTCACCACAACATCTCATTATAATGTTATGGGGCTATGGAGTTAATAATAAAACAAGCCAAGCGTAACCACAAGTTTACTGCCCATAGCACTGCTGAAATATTACTGGACTGAGCTGGAGAATGATTGGAGAGATGGTGTCTAGAGTACAAGGATAAATACTACATACATAAGTGGACATTACTTTAAAATTGTTATAAAAATGACAGTTTGACCATGTTTTATGGATTTATTTTTGACAATAAATACATACAAGATATATGTTTAAAGCTATACTGTGAAACAGTACAGTAACCATGGTGTCAAGCCAGTGGCAAACTCTGCAACAGAAAAATGGCATCATAGCAATTTAAAGGCTCATATTATTCTATTTTCTGATCTATGTTATAATGTTGTTTCCTTTTCACAAATATATCTAGAGTTGAGTTTTGTTTCATTCACACATATTTAACACTCAAATCCTGTATATTTAGACTGAGTTCTCCTCTCAAACAGAAAACACTCTGTTCCACCTTGTGATGTCATGTGGTAATACAGAAAGTGCTCCACTGTGTTTTTAACTCCAGTCCATACACCTTCACTAGAATCATTTGGATAATTTCACCCCTGGAATTCCCAATCTCTGCTATGCTAAAGGTAAAAGATAGTTGTTACATTTAAAACTACGACTTGATGACATCACAAAGTGGAGCATTTGTGATGAGCATTTTGAGCTGAGATGTAGACAGACTATTAATAAAGGGTTACTCAAATATGTGTGAATGAAGCAAAACACGGCTCCACATATTTTATTTTATTTATTTATTTAATGACAAATCTCAGCTAAATCTCACAAGAGTCATATATGTGTAATATAGGACCTTTAAAGGTGCACTATGTAACTTTGCTGGTGGAGGCTCCATCACCTTCTCATTATTTGCCTTCCTGGAATGTTTCCCAGTTTGGTAGAAATCCATCTTTCATTTATTTAATTACAGGTTTTTTTATTGCCAAAAAAAAAAAAAAAACTACTTGTCTCTATGGAAATTAAGTTTTATGCCATTTTGTTTTGCCATTGAACATAACATCTCCATGGAGAATAAGCTTTCGAACCTTCCACCTAAAAACTTTAATACCTCTTGAAGATAGACTACCCTTTTTAATCCTTTTAATTCCCAGACAAATTGGCTAAATAAGAGTACATTGTCCCCAGCTCAGTCCTCACTGTTAGTCACTGCTCTTCCTCTCTGTGTAATCCTATTTATATCTCCCCTCATTCTCTCTTGTCCATCAGCAGACTTCTTCTTCTGTGGTGCCTTGGCTCAGGTCTCCACGGTGACGCAGGATGGAAAGAGGCAGCAAATTAAATTGTGCAGAGCTGAGTGAGTGATATATGTATGTTATTAATGCTTCCTGGCTGTATTTATATTGTGAAACATGTTATAATTATACATATAATAGGCATAATCTGGTTTTAAAAAGTGCATTTGTATGAGCTCTTACTTAAAAGCTTTTTTTCCTTAGCTTTAATCGCATTTTCATTACCATTTCTTAAGTGTATAAAATTTAATTTACCGTCAAGGAGTCGTTCAGGCTCATGTGATGTCTGTTAGTAATCTGATCTTGGGTAAATAACAAAAATCATGCATTTTAGATTTGCTAATGCTCCAGCTATAACACACAAGTATGTTTTGGTATGTATGTCCTGTATATCTAATGTATGAAAATGTCCTGTGTACTGTGTAACCTTTCTAGTGGGGGCGTCTTCAATCTGTTGCAAAAGAGATGATACTGTTTTGTTGGAATGTTACACAATATGGCATTTGTGTGTATTCATCTAGCATTTATTACAATTCATTTTTATTGCTCAAAAATGGAAAATAATGCATTTTTACTGTGAGAGATCTTGCCTCTCCTCAGATCTAATCTGTAATTTGGCCCAATT